CACGAAAATACGAAAGCATACTTCAGAGAGCTATTATGATGATTCAGTGCAGTAACATAGATAAAATAGTGTAGTGTGGTGTCCTGTATGTAATAAATGCTAATCAAATGTTAATTTAAGTCAGGTCTTTCTAATTTTTTTTAAAGATTTTATTTATTTATTTGACAGAGAGAGAGAGAGAGAGAACAAGTAGGCAAAGAGGCAGGCAGAGAGAGAGAGAGGGAAGCAGGCTCCCCACTGAGCAGAGAGCCTGATGTGAGGCTCCATCCCAGGACCCTGGGATCATGATCTGAGCGGAAGGCAGAGGCTTTAACTCACTGAGCCACCCAGGCACCCCAGGTCTTTCTAATTTTAATGCTCTATTTTATCTCTTTGAATCCTGATGCCTTGGTTTAAACCAATAAGGGTGTAGTTTCCTAGTTAGTTTTATGGCATATACTAAAGAGAAATGTAATTTAATGTTTTTCTTTCTGCATGCTGTCAAATATACCTTGAATTCCTAGTAGTACTCATCATTGCTCTGTGTAGGTCCAAGCAACATAAAGAACAAGAGTCACCATTATAAAGTGTATACTCGGTATCAGGAACTATGTTAATAGCTTTACGCATTATTATCTCATTTATGTTCACCATAACCCTGTGAAATAGATGCTGTCCTGTTTTATGGATGAGTAAATTGAGACCTACGAATTTGTCCAAGGCCTTCCAGCTGGTAAAGTGACTGAGATAGGACCTCAATACGTGTTCTTTTTTTTTTTTTTTTAAAGATTTTATTTATTTATTTGACAGAGATCACAAGTAGGCAGAGAGGCAGGCAGAGAGAGAGGAAGGGAAGCAGGCTCCCTGCTGAGCAGAGAGCCCGATGCGGGACTCGATCCCAGGACCCTGAGATCATGACCTGAGCCGAAGGCAGCGGCTTAACCCACTGAGCCACCCAGGCGCCCAATACGTGTTCTTTTAAAGGAGTGTTCTTTAAACACATCTGCCCGGTTTTCTCTTAAAATTTTTGAAAAAGTTTTGCATTCCTTGTGCATTTTCAAACTGACTTAAAAATTTTTCATAATAAATTTAGTTAAAAAACAAAATTCACCCAAGAGCATTTGAAAATTTAATTGGCTGAGTCACACAGTATCCCACCTAGCAGGTAGAGGGGAACTCCAATGTGGTGCAAAAGGGAAGGTTTTTACTGAAAGGAGGGAGGGGGGGCAAGAAGTTACTAGCAAAAGAAGAGATTGTTTCTGAAAAAGATTGCTTCTGGAAAGGACTTCTTTTCTTAGGGGGAAGAGCGGGGAGTTTTAGGTGGATTACCTCATCTTCCTTTGGGGTGGAGAGCCCACGAGACAGATTACCTCATTGGTTGCCAACAAGAAAATCCAGATTGATGGGCTTAAAATTTGATTCCTGGAGAGGTTGAAACTGCAGTTAAGTCAATTTGCTGTCCTGGGGGGCAAGTGACTCCAGCTTGGCTTTTAGTTTTCTTTTTAACATTTTAAATAGTTGTAGAGAATAATTTTTATTGTGTTGTAAATATTGGTGTAAAAAATACGTATTTTCACCCAGTAGGATCTGAATACCCACCACTATACATTCAGAAGTGCTTGAACAAGCTCTTCATTAATAGTTGGAAATTTAACATTGTATCTTTTCCCATTGAACTCCTATGTCCATCTTGCTTTGCAAAAGTTTATCTTAATTTATATATTTTATGCTTAAGTCTTTTATTGATCGTGCTGTGATTTCTCTACAATAAAAATATAACTAAATTGAAATTGACCATATTTAAAAATTTACTGTTACTGTCCAGCTTTCTTTTGCATTAAGTATTTTTTTCTAATTCATTTTAAAATTTAATTCCTGTTTTAATTGCTTTAATGATTTCCTCACTTGATGTTTTTTGAGATTTTTTAGTGGTTTCCTTTGTTCCTCTAAGGGCTTCCCATATTGATCTTAACAGTATTTCCTTCAGGTAATCATTAGGCTTTTTAAGTATTAACATTTTTCCCTCTGGAACTGTGATTATCGTAAGTACAGATTATAAGTACAGTTGATCAAAACAATAATAACTAAATGTTATAACTAATAACTAACTAATAACTAAATGTGAAAAAGTTCTATTGGAAATACTTTTTTTCTTTAGATTTTACTCTGTTAGAGCACAAGCAGGGGTTGGGATTAAGGGGCAGAGGGAGAAGGAGAAGCAGTCTCTCCGCTGGGCAGGGAACCCACTGCGGGGTTCAATCCCAGGACCCCAGGATCATGATGTGAGCCAAAGGGAGATACTTAACCGAATGAGCCACCCAGGTGCCCTGGAAATAGATTTCTTAATGATGTGGGTAGGTGGTTTCCCCCATTTTCCCTGATTAGTTCATGTGCCCATAAATGAATATACTTACAACTAGAATTTGATAAAGCTCGTCATAAATTTCAAGTTTTTAAAATAGTTACAGCCCTGAGTCATCAATAAGTAGATGAGAATTGAAGGGATTTTGTAATAGCAACATCACTTAGTTCTTTGACTTTGAGTGTCATGCCAAAGATATGTATAAGATACAGAAAGACTAGCAAACTTAACTGTTGGTGCTTCCTGGAGATTTTTATACCCTGGGCAGTGCACAAAGAAGGATTCGGGAAGGGAAAAGATAAGCCTTTTTGGCGAAGTGGGAGAAGGGAGATTGTACAAGGGAATATGGGAGAGGAGATCCAACATGGTGCCATGGTTAAGTACTCTTCTCAGGAAGGTCAGTTTTAGTACAGAGTATATTTGTGGAATTGAGGATATGAATGTGTTTACCTTAAAACCACCCATGCCCATGTACGCTTCAGAAAGTCTGTAGGGTTACACAAATATAGCATGAAGAAAGCCTTTTAAAGTAACGTACAATGAGAAAATGTGAGCCAGTCTAAATCTCAACATTCAGCATTAGGTAAACAAAGAATTATGACACTGCTATTCACCATAGCATGCAGAAGTACCTTACATACACACTGGCATTTAATAAGCATTTGTTATTTTAAATTTTTAAAAAGAATTTATTTATTTGACAGAGATCACAAGTAGGCAGAGAGTCAGGCAGCGAGAGAAGGAAGCAGGCTCCCTGCTGAGCAGAGAGCCCGATGCGGGGCTCGATCCCAGGACCCTGGGATCATGACCTGAGTCGAAGGCAGAGGCTTTAACCCACTGAGCCACCCAGGCGCCCTGTTATTTTAATTTATAAAGTACATTGTCAAGAAATACACTTAATTATTCTATTAAGTATATTTACATCCATTCTATCTTCCTTCTGTTGTAGTCTGGTTTTCCCTACCACATCATTAGTACCCTAAATATTAAGAAAATCCAGTGGACACTCAAAAATCTTTGGTCTCTTTTTGCCTTTTGTTGCACTGCACCACTTTTTATACTTGTCTTTCCACGATTTTTGGGGATGTAAGGCTTTCTTGATTTTCCTTCTACCTCTCTGCTTTTTTTCTAATTGACTTTGCAGGTTCCTCAGGTGGGCTCCATGCCTAGCATGGAGCCTGATGTAAGGCTGGATCTCACGACCCTGAGGTCATGACCTGAGATGAAATCAAGTCCCACGCCCAACTGACTGAGCATCGAGGCACCCCAGATTCTTAATTCTTTTTTTTTTTTTTTTAAGATTTTATTTATTTATTTGACAGAGAGAGACACAGCGAGAGAGGGAACACAAGCAGGGGGAGTGGGAGACAGAGAGGGAGAAGCAGGCTCCCCGCCGAGCAGAGAGCCCGATGCTGAACTCGATCCCAGGACCCTGGCATCATGACCCGAGCCAAAGGCAGACGCCCAACCGACTGAGCCACTCAGGCGCCCCCAGATTCTTAATTTTTAAATGTTGGTTCATCTGGACTTAGTCCTAGGCCTCTTGACATTTAACCCTATACAAGTTCCTAAAGGCTGTCTCTCCTCACCCTAGGGCTTCATTGGCCCTCAGGATTCATAATACCCTTCTGTATCTTCAGCCCAGGTGGCTGTCCAGACGTCTAGACCAGGATATCCAACTGCCTCTGGATATCACCGCCTAGATGTCTGCTCACATTTACTCTTTGGAACTCCGCTACCGAGCTTCCCCAACCCGCTTCTCCAGGTTTTTTCTCAGGAAATGGCACCGCTAGCTGACCAGCTGCCCAGGTCCCCAACCTGGAAGTCATTCTTCATTCTTTCTTTTCATTATTTCTCATTATGCCAGTTAATTCTACTTCCTAATATTGTACAAAAAATCTGTCCACTTCATACTATCCTCAGTGTCCTTGTCCTCACCAAACCAATTTCCCTAGCTTTTCTTAACTCAGAACGGCCTTTCTGCCTGAGTTTTGCTTTCTTCCAATACATGCTTGTCTTGGTAGCAGAACTGAACAGAGTTCTAATCTCATCATGGTTTCCTGCTTAAAACCTTTCAGTGGCTACATTTTGCTCTTAGATAAATGTTAGGCTCTTTAACATGAATTACTAGGCTGTTTGGATTTCACTCTCTCTTATCTGTGTAGTTTTATCTCTGGCTCTTTTACCCTAGCACGCTACACTGGAGCCTAAAGTAGCTTTTCCTTCTCAAAAAGTTTTGTGTCTCAGGTCCGCGGGCTTGTGCTCTCTGACCTCTGCTTTCTTTGATTATTCCACACACTACTGTCTCTGTTGGGGCCACTTAGTTTGGTTAACTCCTCAGCCTTCTCTGGTCTCACTTTTAAATGGCATTTCCTCAGGTGCCCTGCCTTGGGTCTCCGGGTTAGGTTCTGTTACATTCTCCAAAAGAGTACAGTGTATTTCCTCTTTCATGTAGCTCATAGCACCTTATTTATGTGTGTCTTTCATGGCAAGCTGTCTTGTAAACTTCTGAGCATGGAGAATCTTTATCTTGGATTCTGGTTTCCGTATCCCTAGTGTCTGACACACATACATGCGTATACTCAGCGTCTTTGAATAAGTTAACAATTTTGAGTTCTGATTCCTGTGATTTCAAAATGCGTTTGGTTTTTCTCTTTAGTGTCTCAATGAGATCCTGGAGTCAGCAGATGCGCCTTTAGAAGTCACTGAAGGATTCATACAGTCAATTTCTCTATCAGTTCCGTGGGGCTCCTTGCTGCAGGAGAATTGTGCACTGGAAGTGAAAGGGCTAGAAATGGTCTTCCGGCCTAGACCCCGCCTAGGTAGGTGTGTTGTTATGTGTTTCTGTTTTATTTGTTTTTATTGTATTCTTCACAGATTGGGAAAGTAACCTAACTGTATTAAATTAAGTATTTATTACTTAGCATTTATTTGTGAGATTATCAGTAGATAAAATATTAGGACTTGGGGGGGGTGTGATTTTACCTTTAGTGTTACTTCTTGCCCTGTTTACCCACAGGAAATTTAGTGTACTGATGATTTGGTTAATTATTTGTTACCACTTGTATAAAGAGACATGTGTTTTAAAGTTTCAAAGTATTGTGCCAGAAACCAAGGAAGTGCTCAAAGATTGATGGAGAAATGTTAAAAGGACAGAGGACTGGACTTGTTGGGTGCTCTCTTTGGCCAAATCTGGGACTAATAACAATAAATGGATTATAACATGTGGAATTAAAAAAAAATAGCTCTATGTCCATACTGTTACAAATACTGTTACATCCATACATACAAATCTGTATGTAAGGGAGGCAGGAAGAAGGGAAAGCTCTTTGTTGCAGTAGAATGTCAATTTACTAGAGTAGAAAAAAATGATAGACCATCACCATGGTTTTGACAACCATGGTAAAAATTGATTGAGGTGGTAATGATCAGTGAATCCTAACCCCGCCTGGTGACAGGTCATTGAGGAGCTTGATTTGTGATGTACCAACATACTTCCCCTTGATGACACACTGTTTACAGAGAGAAAAATGTTTCTTTCGCAGTGGAGGAAATTGATAGTTGCCACAGCCACCTTAATCGTCAGTCTTAGTCCCATCAGTAGTGGGTCAGAGGGCCATGATGTGGGTCCTGATGGGATGGCTGACAAAGACACGTCATGTATATACTGTTCCTGTTACAAGTGCATAGTCTGAATAGCATTGTAAGGAAGAAGGACTTGACAAATCTATAATAAGGGACATTCTGTAGGCTAACTGGCCCTCTTTTGACGTATCACTATCAGGAAAGACAAGAGAGCTAGAAGAATTGTTCCAGATTAAAGAAGAATAAGTCATGAATAACTGCAGTAGATAATCCTGTGTTTTTGTTTGTTTTTGTTACGAAGGATATTACTGGGACAGCTGAGAAATTTGGGTGTAGAATGTATAGAAGATAGTATTTTGTCGGTGTTGTGTTTCTTGGGTGTGTTCATGTCACTGAGCTTTCGCATGGGAATATTTGTATTCTTAGGAGTTACTGCTCAGGTGTTTGGGAGTGTTAGGGTGCCTGCAGTTTACCTTCAGATAGTTCAGCAGAAGGATGAGAGAGAGAGAGAGAGAGAGAGAGAGAGAGTGTGTGTGTGTGTGTGTGTGTGTGTGCGCATAGCTGTGATGAGTCTAAATGAAGGCTGTGCAGGTGTTCATTGCACCATATTTTCACCTCTTCCTTAGGATTGAAATTTTTCAAAATTTGGGAGGGAAAAGCTTTAAAGTAGTAAGTTATATAAGTATATCTGGGTGGTAGCTTTAGTTATATGCCATTTTCTGACTTATTAAACGTGTATAGAGCTGCTTGCATGCCAGATGCTGTTGTGAGTGCTTTACCAGTATTATTTTATCATGGCGGTTTGAAATAGACATGTTCGTTATCTCCATTTTTATGGAGCAGGACATTGAAGCGCAGGTGAATTCAGTAACTTGTCCAAGGTCATAGCTAGTTCAGTGGAAATTTGGGATCTCAACCCAGGCAATGTAGTTCTGGAGTCCGTATTCTTAACCACTGTGCTCTGTTAAATAGCTCAGATTTTCTGCTCTGGAGTGTGTGTGTGTGGGGGGGGTGTATGTGTATGTATTTTTTAAGCCAATAGAGTCACCATCTAAATCATCTTAAATTCTGAATTTAAATTCTTTGAGTGGCAAGTGATGTTGGTCAAGAAATACTTGAAGAATTATAATCCTAAATGCTTTCTGGAACACCAGAGTTTAAATTTTATGCTTATTAGAATTAGTAGCACCTTTACTTTGAAAATGGTAGTCTGTGCGTGGAAATCCTCCTCGATAATGGCATTTAATTAACAAGAATATTTTATTTTTTTAACCATGATGAGTAGATAGAATAATATTTTCCTATGGAAAGTTAAATATTCTGCCTTTAAAAATATTCCACGAGAAGGATTTTTAAATTCCATTTTGGGAGGCAGTAATTGTAGTAATCTGTCAGTTTGTTTTGAATAATGTAAGGAAGTGTAGTGCCATTCTTTGAGGGATGATCTGGGAAGGATTTTTCCCAGTTCATGGATTCTTCCAAGGATGTTCTTCTATTTTATCTACATTTATACTGACCTTCTAAAGCCTAGGTCAGATGCCACCTCTACCAGATTTCCTATTAAATTCTGTCCATGGGAAGAGTCAGCCTCTTGGTTTAGCCATCCGTGTTTTCTGTTGACATTGCATAGTTGCTTACTAATTCTTCTTAACCACATCTCATTTCTTCCACTATATTGTAGGCTCTCTGTGGGGAGAATTAATCATTATTTTTCTGACCCCTACAGCAGGGTCCTCTAACTATTGCCTGTAGGCCAAATTTGATCTATCATATTTTTGTAAATAAATTTGTATTGGAACACTGCCATACTCATTCATTTCCTTACTCTCTCAGCCTGCTTTTGCACTAGAGTGAGAGTGGTGAGTAGTTAGGGTAGAGGCCCTGTAGGGCCCACAAGGCCTAAATTATTTACCATCTGACCCTCGCCAAAAGAAATTTGTTGACCCCTGTTCTACAGTATTTTGAACCGTACCATGCATGCATTAAATACTTGTTGAATGAATTCATAAGTTAACATTTGACAGATACATATCATTTAATGAGAACACGTATCTCTGGACTTCTTTCTGTGATTTTTTTTTTCTCTTAGTTATTATAAGGTGATGCTTAAATCTCATAGAATATCATATGCCTAGGTAATACCATGATGTTAAAATACCATGTTAAATAAGGATTAAGAATTTATTTCAAATGTGGCATTTTAAGAAATGGCTTTGTTGTAACTATGAGAAGTTATTTAGAATTAATCTATATTTTCTGCAGCAACTGGTTCTGAGCCTATGTATTGGTCAAGTTTCATGACCAGCAGTATGCAATTGGCAAAAGAATGTCTTAGCCAGAAATTAACAGATGAACAAGGAGAAGCATCACAGCCCTTTGAAGGACTTGAAAAGTTTGCTGAAACCATTGAAACAGGTTTGGCATTGAGCATTTTCTTTCTTTCTTTTTTTTTTTTCTTCTCTCCCCCACCCGCAAGTAATTTAGTACCTTTCTTTAGTAAGCCTTGTATAAGGAAAATCCATTGGAGTGATTTTTTTTTTTTTTTAAGGAGTTTCTCTTCTCACTTCAGAACTTTAGAATTGAGGTTATTTTAAAGATTTTATTTATTTATTTGACAGACAGAGATCACAAGTAGGTAGAGAGGCAGGCAGAGAGAGAGAGAGGAAGGGAAGCAGGCTCCCTGCTGAGCAGAGAGCCTGAGAGGTTATTTTAAATATTCAATTTAATTGAGGTTATTTTAAATATTCAATTTAACTTTAGAATTGAGGTTATTTTAAATATTCAATTTAATTTCATGTCCTTTTGTATCCTAGTTTCTCCTCTGTGCCTTTTATTATGCTTGTATGACGAAGGGTTTAGAGTTCAGAGAGTGTTAGGCATTGCACATGTATCTGTTGGGATGTGTTGGGGTAGGTGCTCAGTAGGGCAGAATGTCTATTTCCAAACTCAAGATTTGGGGATTTTACTTTATTTTTTAAGTTCTTATTAAACTAGTAATTATTCTTTTCATTAGAAATTTTTATTTCGTATACATGTGGTCTCATGTTGACAGTTACCTGTTTGCTCTAGTACTAAGAAGAGTGAAAGTCACGTTTATAGACACTGTCTTGAGAATTGAACATGTGCCAGAAAATTCCAAAACTGGAACTGCACTTGAAATTCGAATAGAAAGGTAAGACTTCTTATATCTGAGAATAAACAACCTTATTCTTTTCTTGTATAAATAATAAGATCTGACTTTTATTAGATTTCATGATGCTTTTAGAGATTAGAAGTGATGCTGTGAGTTACTACTACATCGTATGGTTTCCAGGTAAAGCGCTGCTCTTCAAGATCCGTTCTAATCCCATTACTGACAGCTTAAAGTACCAGTTGAGGTATAATTGTATATAGTACTGTATGGGATTCAGAGCGAAGGATTCTCTTTAGTTAATGTCAAATGAAAATCGTGAGTATGTGAGTGCTGCTAAGTTGAAGGCACTCCTAACTGAGTTTTTTCTTACTAGTGACACCCTGTTTTGGAGCGTCTCGTTAATACGAAGGTCTTCTTTGCTTTCCTGTGCTTGATCTAAGTGTTGCTTTCATGAGAAAGGCTAAGCCTGCAGTTTTCTTTGAGAGGATTCTGTGAGAGTATCTGTGCGATAGTGATTTACTGAAAAAGATGGAAACCAGGACTCCGTTTTCCGTGTATGACCACTTGGAGCCTTATAAATAGCTGAGTGTTGATTTGAGGTTGTCACTGTTTTTGTTTTGTTTTGTTTGGTGGGGAGCAAAGCCCAGTTTATTGAGAGTACAGTAACATACAGATCGTACAAAGTGCCCAAAGAAGGAGAGACCTGAGAGGGTTGCCCTTTAGGTAGTCACTGTTCACCTGTGTCTTAATGTGACCGAAATGTGCGGAATGAAGTATGTGCACTGAGCACCAAAGACACTTTGTACAGGGATCTGTTGGGAGCTTTTACCAAATTTTAAGCAAATATGTCATGGTTTCTATCTTTCTATCATCATTAAATTACCTATTAGTCAAACAGTTATTGTTAACAGATTTTTGAAATTAGGTTGGATTACCTGAAATGGTATATTAAAAAATATCTAAAATCTCATGGATGTAGAACTACCTTCTGTATTTTGTTGAAAATGAAATGGTGAGTCCTAAGAACTTGTAGAATAGTCATAAGAATTCAAGAAATGTCATTCATTTTGGGCTTGTGACTTGGAGCCAAATGCTGTCTGTTACCAAGAGATGTTTGTGAGGGAGCACAGGAATTGTTTTCCTTGAGGTGAACTTTAGGAAGCTATGAATCTCTCCTCCCAGTTTAGGAGCCCCATAAAATTATCCTTCTTGAGGTTGAGGTCTCTTGGTGAAAACCTTTCCTGTAGTGAAGCTCTGATGCTGACCACATGAGGCATTTTCTGAGGAGTGGTAACACTAGAAAACCCTTCACCTTAAAAAGCTATGTGTGTTTCTTAGACTTGCAAGTAGGTTTTCTTACGCCAACGTTTTCTGTTTTGAACATGGAGAACTGTCTACTGTGATGAAGCTGCTGATGAGGCCTCAGGAATTAACGTGCATCAGCCCACAGCCTTTGCTCACAAGTTACTCCAGCTCTCCGGAGTGTCTCTCTTCTGGGAGGAGTTTTCTGCGTCAGCAAAATCTTCCCCAGTGTGTTCAACTGCACCAGCGGTAAGAAAAACAAACCAAGAAAACAAACACTAAATCATAGATTTTTTTAAAAGTTTAAATTAGGGGTACCTGGGTAGCTCAGTCAGTTGAGCGTCTGACTCTTGATTTTGGCTCAGGTCATGATCTCAGGGTCGTGAGATCCAGCCCCGCATCGGGCTCTGCACTGGGCATGAAGCCTGCTTAAAAGTCTCTCTCTCCCTCTCCAAAAATAAATTTATAAATAAATAAATAGTTTAAAGGAGGGCTATTAAATTGTGCTAAGATATAGAATATGTGTTAGTGAGTTTCCATCTGATCTGGAAGTTAACACACATACTCAGTAATGGAGACCTGCTTTTCAAAGTTTTAAAAATACTCCTATTTATGATTGATGCCTTTCCTACCAGTGCTGGATATAACACTGGATACTGTACCGTGTGGGGAAAATGACATGTTAACAGCTAATACACTTTTATAGTAAAAACAAAAGCACATTTGTTCACATTTACCTTACATAGTGAATGTATGGCTGAAAACTTATAAATCATACTTTAAAAAAGTTTTATAATTAAGGAAATTTGTATTAATGCTTTGTAAGAGTAGAGAGTCCTTTTATAAAACAGTCTTTCCATAATTTATCTTTTACATTATTCAAATTTTTATGATTATAGAATGTTAAGTTTTCTTATTGCTGTAATTTGAATAGATGTGCATTTTTCCATAAAGTCCTTTTCCATGATTTGCTTTTATTACTTAGCTATAAGACACTGGTTTATTCATTGTCACATAATACAGTTTTTCATGTCAAATACTTTACTCTAAGTTGACATTTGTATTTTGCATTTTGGGTTATTTACACTAAAGTGTTTTAGAGAATTACTTTATTCTTATTGCCTCATTGTAGGAAACTGAGCCAAAGCTATCACCTAGCTGGAATCCCAAAATTGTATATGAGCCGCACCCACAATTAACTAGAAGTTTACCAGAGGTAGCGCCCTCTGACCCAGTGCAGATTGGAGGGCTAATTGGTAGGCTGGAGTTGAGTCTCACGCTGAAACAGAATGAAGTGCTTCCTGGAGCTAAGGTCAGTGTTTGTTTCATTTTCTATAGTTAAAACAGAAGTACAGGTATTCTTTAATGTGTGCAGTGACCCGCTGATTAGCTACTCTGGGTTGTTCTAGGCTGCCCTCTGTCCTGGAGTCTGTGTTCTTACTCTCAGCTGGTGCCTCTGTCCCGAGGTCTCAGGGCCTCACGTGAGCACTGACTGTCTTTAGCCCCTGCTCATGCTCAGGTGTTAGCAGTGTCTCCTGCACTCATTTTCCCCCATTCTAGCAGTTCAGAAACATTAATGAGTTAATAAATTAGGAATTTGTTAAAGACTTTTATCATACCATTCAGTTTAAAGGAGAAGAGATTTGGAAGTAAGAAATTGACTATAGAGGATGTTTAATTTTATGCATGTAAAAATGCCCACCTAGGTGTGTTCTGAACAGAATGACCATTTTTATAGTTGTTATTTATGAAAAGAGATTGATTTTTTTTTTTTTTTCATGGTGTCTCATGTCTTTTTGAAGATCCTGTAAAGACAACTGCACTTGTTTCTTAGGGAACAGTGTTGGACAGTCTCCTGGAGAATCAGGAAGCCTATATTTAGTCTGTTGAAAATGTATTTGTGAAGTGTTATTTTCAAACTTTGAAAACAATTTTCCATATAATCTCTGTGAAATGTAGTTTAAGAAAGTATCAGGATTTGTTCATTTGTTTACTCACTGGCCTAACTAGCTAGATGTTTGAGTGACTACTAGATGCCAGGCCGTGTGCAGTTTCTTGGGGGAGATGCAGAGAAGAGGGAAATACTGTCTTTGCTTTAATACAACATGTGATAAAGGGTATAGACATGGCTGTGGGGACACTGAAGAAGAGGGAGCAACTGAGGACTCGTGCATGCACAGGAGATTTTCAGAGGATGGAGGATCTCCGGTAGTCTGTCCTTGGGTCGGCCCGCCTCCCTATAGTTAGAGGCAGAGGAAGGTGATCAGAACGCCAGCCTTCCTGTTGCTGATTACTTCCTCTCCTTTTGTTTACTGCTCTGTCCTACCTCAGTTGGCGTGAAAGCCTTTCACCAGGTCTTAAGCCTGTTCATAAAATAACCTGAAAGCTGTAGGTATGTTTTAATACTACAGGGAATTCCGAGGTGCTAATATCCTTGGGAAATGAACACATCCATGCCTCCCAGGAAGGGAACTATTTCTCCATGAAGGAAGAACCATGGCAGTCACTTCTGTAGTTCTGTTTGGATTAAATTAGATGGTCCTCAACATTTGTACATCGATCTTTGTGCAAACCGAAACTTGCACATTATGTCTTGATTTGTGTAAGTGCCTTTTGGTGTTACTTTTGGACATCTGTGTACTAGGTGACAAATGAACATCTGGAATTAGAGCATGATGGCATTATTTGCCAGCCAGTGTTTGATATTTGGAGATACTACCGTCCTTGCCTACATGGTAATTTTTGTGTAGTAACTTGAGTTTGAGTACTTTTTGTTCTTAATGCAAATGAAGGCTAAATGGAAAAATACAAGATACTGTATTTGATACAAGATACTAGCTTTGAGAAACATAAATCCCATAAACTTAATGCCGTATAGACAAAGATGGCATTGGTTGGGGGTACTCAAGAGTCAGATCTTTAGTCTTGCTGATGTTCATTAGATCCACAAGTTTTTCAACTGTGGGATCAAAATGTTATGAAAGATTTTTTGGGGGGGATGCCTCTCAGTGGCTCAGTCAGTTAAGTGTCCAACTTTTGATTTTGGCTCAGGTCATGATCTCAGGGTTGTGAGATTGAGCCCTGGGTTGGGCTCCACACTCCTACAGAGTCTATTTGAGATCTCTTTCTCCCTCTTCCTTTGCCCCTGCCTCCTTGTATATGCATCTGTGCTCCTTCTCTCTCTCTAAAATAAATACATCTTAAAAACCAATTTTTTAAAAGTTTTTTTAGTTCTCTGAGACGGTACCCACCCCAAATAGTGTGCCAGCCAGATTGTTCACATGTTCAATTTTAGCATATACTTTAAGGATTCCATCATGTAAAAAAATAGAGGAGCTGTATGTATTGAATTTATAGACCTTTTGTTTAGTTACTGTGTCATATTGAGTCTGAAATTATTTTAGTTATGTTCTGTCTTTTCTTTTTCCAGAGGAAAGTAAGAGGTGCTTTGTTCTTTGTATGCCAAATTTAGAATGTACAAATAATATTTCTATGAACATTAGAAGTGAAACTCTTGATTAACCATCCTAATAAAGGTCGGAGATTATGTTTTCAATACTAAGAAATTAAAAACCAGTTTTTAAATATGGCATATAATCAGAGATTCTCCCACTGTCCCCAGCCTAAACTCCTTGCTGATTCATTGTCTGGGATGACAGCCATCAGCAAGGAGCCCCATAAAACAAATGCACGGAGAGCCGTACCATGGGAGGAGTTAGGGCTTCCCATCTAGGTCAGCCTACGTTAAAATCCTGGCTCTGGGTCTGTAGATGGTCTTGTGCAAATCTTTATGATCCTGTGTCCTTATCTGTAAAACAGGAGTCTTACTAGAATGAGTGGAAAGGTAATGAAAGCATAGTTCCCCAATACTCAGAAAAAGGTGATAGTGATGATTGTTATTCCTGGAGAATATATTATATTTTCAGATCATGGAAGCTTCTCAGCATTACTATGCAATGTTTTTCGTTTTTAGAATCAGAGGAAATCCCCCGCCCCGGGGAGGATACCATTTTCCCCAAATATAAATGTTATTAATTGAATTCTTTTAAAATTGCAAAACAGCGTAAAGATAATAGGAGTCTTAGCATCACCCCTAAGAGGAGGTGAATGAAAAGTAAGGCAGGCATACTCAACTTGTTAGGGTGTGGTGTAGAAAATAGAGTAATTGTTTTGTTAGAATATACTCCACAGGGGCACCTGGGTGGCTCAGTGGGTTAAGCCTCTGCCTTTGGCTCAGGTCGTGATCCCGGAGTCCTGGGATTGAGCCCCACATCGGGCTCTCTGCTCCGCAGGGAGCCTGCTTCCTCCTCTCTCTCTGCCTTCCTCTGTCTATTTGTGATCTGTCAAATAAATAAAATCTTAAAAAAAAAGAATATACTCCACAGGAATCAGGATGAGATCGGCTGGGGCTTTTATTTCCAGGAGGAAAAATGGACAGAGGCTTGGAAAAGAGCAAGGCAGTGCACGTGAGCACCCACTGCGTGAGCATCTCTGCTGTGGTTTGCACTCTCCTGCCCAGCAGACAGTGGGCTTTGTGGAACGCTGCCTGGGCGTGCGGAGAGGCGCACTGTTGATAGGGAAGGGCCTCACGTGCTGTGCTGGGAGCATTATCCGTGGGCAAACTTGGGAAAGCCAGCTTTATTTGCTCTTGGTTTGAATCCCGCTTTGAGGATTATGATTTGAGTCTGAAATCCTGTTGGGAATGAATTCTGTGCTGTTGCTGTCTTCATAGCCTTCCTTGTGACTGGCTTGAAGCCTCCTCAAACACCTGAAATACTCAGAAGACTCAGAGATGAAAATAGGACATTGGACTTGCCAACATGGTATCTTGCAGGAGGCTTTTCCCCCTGAGAACAACAGTTTGGTGGCCTTTAAGTCTTTTCATTTAGATTGTGTAAATGAGTGGAGGGAATTTTAGGTGGCAGAATCTAAGACTGAGGAATGAGTGTTCCTCTCAGTGCGTGAAGGTATATGGGATTTGTGCTGACGAGGTTTTAAAGAGTGTTTATCCTGAATGGCTTTTTTTTTCTTTTTTTTTTTGAAGTTGGATATTGATGGACAGATAGACTCTATTCATCTCTTCCTGTCACCAAGGCAGGTGCACTTGCTCTTGGATATGTTAGCAGCTATTGCTGGACCAGGCAAGTATGGCAATAGGCAACTCTGTTATTTTTATTTAAAACTTTTCAGATTCTGTGATTCCTAGCTAGTCACTTTAAGCTACTGCAGAGCTTTGATTAATATTAAATAGTGGTAGTTCTGCATTGACTGTGACATGAAGTTGCTGTTGGTATTGGACAAGTGGTTTTGGGAGAGAGATGATTGATTACCTCCAAATTTAATTACTGTTTTCCTTTCCTTTCTATACTTGTAGAAAATTCTAGCAAAATAGGGTTAGCTAATAAAGATAGAAAAAACCGACCCATGCAGCAAGAAGACGAATATCGAATTCAGATGGAATTAAACCGGTATTATTTGAGAAAAGATTCCCTCTCAGCAGGTGTATCTTCAGAGCAAAGCTTTTATGAGACAGAATCCGCTCGTACACCTTCTAGCCGTGGTAAGCAACTGAAGCATTGACACGAGATTCCTACAATGTCAACATAGAGCAAAGTAAGCCTAATTTGGCTGTGGTGAAATGGGAGTTTAGTAATGAAAGAACAAAAGATCGGCGCTCTAAGAAGGTTTAAATTTGTAAGTTGATCTAACTGTAGCGTTACAGTGATGCGCTGGCTCACGTATCCTTTTTTGATTGTGTAATCTCGTTTTGTAAATTGTGACTTTTTTTTTTTTAATTCTAAGGACAGTCAGTTTACAAAAATGTAGACTTACACAAAAGATAAATTGTGGGTAATTACTCATTTTGTCAAATTCTTACATGCCTGTATAATGATTGACAGATGCTCTTAAATGGACCCTTTTTTTTTTTTTCCTACTCTTCCATCAATTACATGTAAATAGGGTCTTTATCAAGTTTACTTTGCTTTTTTACAGGTGTTTTGGAATGTTTAGCACAATACCTTAATAAGAATCCATTTAAGTACAGAATTAAATTGAACTAAATAAGTTAAAAACTAAAAAAGTCTACTCAAGAAATTTTGGTCATAACAAACTTCATTTGCGTGAGGGTAAAACAACTTCCAGAAAGAAGTGAAATGTAAACAGAATTCTGAAATAATACACTCAGGTGTTTCTTTTTTTTTGTTTGTTTAAAAATGCTGTATTCATATGAAACCAGAGATTGCGAGATGTTTGTACTATTTTAAAGTTGGATTTTAACTTCTAAATTGTCATATGACTCTTAAAAATACACCATGTAGTTCTGCGAATCTTACGTTAAACAAACAAAAAACAGTTTCACCAGTAGGATAACATAAACTTTGTTAACTTGTATTTGGCTGAGCATTTTTACTATGCTGTTTATATCTTGGATCCTCACAAATTACCCCATCAGAAGTAATGTCACTTGTAGGGCATCAGTGTACTTCAGAGAATCTGAAGAATATTCTATTAATGTATGTTAACTTACTTTAAAGACCTAAATTATACAACTGACAAGGTTTAATTCTGTCTAGAAGAAGAAGTTTTCTTCTCCATGGCCGATATGGACATGTCCCATAGTCTCTCTTCTCTTCCACCGCTGGGAGACCCTCCAAATATGGACCTTGAGTTATCATTAACTAGTACCTACACAAATACTCCAGCAGGATCTCCATTAAGTGCTACTGTGGTACAGTATTTCAATTTTGTTCTATTCTTGAAAAGTGGCTTCTGAAATTCTATACTTCATAATCATGTGATTTAAAAAAATTCTTTTACAGCTTCAGCCAACATGGGGAGATTTCCTTGAACCTCATAAAGAACAGCCAGTAAGAGGGTCCACATTGCCGTCCAACCTAGTTCACCCACCAAATTTACAGAAGACTTGTAAGTAGTGTAAGACCCTTATGGTAGTTTTCCACTGGAATTTTAAAAAAATGAAAAATCAAAACAAATTGCTTGTTTCTAGAAAATGCCTTTCTACTGCTGCTTTTCTTTCCCTTCATGTATTTTTTTTTTTTTTTTAATCTAGACCATTTAACAAAGTTTAGAAAGACAATGTGAAGCATAGTTGAACAACTCACCATGAAGTATTTCAGAATAGTTGCCCATTCACGGTAGTCTTTGTGTATTTAAATATCTTTAGTAAAAAGTGCACCACAAGTTTCATGTTATTATTGCAGTTCAGGAGTCTAAATCAATCATCAATACTTGTTCCATTGTTTACATTTTCCTTGAAAGAGAACCTCAGGTCTCTTCTCCGTAAAAATTTTTTAAAATTATTTTTTATTATTTTTTTAATTAACATATAATGTATTATTTGTGTCAGGGGTACAGGTTTGTGAATCATCAGTCCTACACAATTCACAGAGCTCACCATAGCACACACCCTTCCCAGTGTCCATCACCCAGCCTCTTTATCCCTCCCACCGCACTCCCTCCCAGCAACGGTCAGTTTGTTTCCTGAGATTAAGAGTCTCTTACGGTTTGTCTCCATCCCTGGTCCCATCTTGTTTCATTTTTCCCCTCCCTTCCCCTATGATCTTCTGTCTTGTTTCTCAAATTCCTCTTATCAGAGAGATCATATGATAATCGTCTTTCTCTGATTGACTTATTTCACTCAGCACAATACCCTCTAGTTCCATCCATGTCATTGCAAATGGCAAGATTTCATTTCTTTTTAAGGAGTGCATAGTATTCCATTGTAGATATATACCACATCTTCTTTATCCATTGATCTGTTGATGGACATCTAGGTTCTTTCCATAGTTTGGCTATTGTGGACATTGCTGCTCTAAACATTCGGGTGTACGTGCCCCTTCAGATCTCTACATTTGTATCTTTAGGGTAAAGACCCAGTATTTACATAACATGTAGCGATACACTACTGGGTAAATACTGGGTATTTACCCAGTAGCGTATCGCTGGGTCATAGAGTAGCTCTATTTGCAACTTTTTGAGGAACCTCTGTACTGTTTTCCAGAGTGGCTGCACCAGCTTGCATTCCCACCAAGAGTGTAGGAGGGTTCCCCTTTCTCTGAATCCTTGCCAACACCTGTCGTTTCCTGACTGGCTAATTTTAGCCATTCTGACTGGTGTGAGATGGTATCTCACTGTGATTTTTTTTTTTTTTAAAGGTTTATTTATTTATTTATTTGACGAGAGAGAGAGATCACAAGTAGGCAGAGAGGCAGGCAGAGAGAGAGGGGGAAGCAGGCTCCCCGCTGAGCAGAGAGCCCGACGTGGGGCTCGATCCCAGGACCTTGAGATCATGACCCGAGCTGAAGGCAGAGGCTTAACCCACTGAGCCACCCAGGCACCCCTCTCACTGTGATTTTGATTGTATTTCCCTGCTTCTTCTCTGCAAAATTTAATTGAAATAGACACAAGGGCTTAAAGGAAAATTTGGAGAGCAGCTTTTGGGTTAATCTCTGACTTTTTAATGCAAAAACTTTTGTTCATATGTTTCTTTTTGATGCTTCAAGTATCAAGGACCCTGAATATCAAATGTAGAAAGATAACAGTTTATCTTACTTGTTTAATATCAAATATCATTCAGACTGTTCTGTGATCACCTGCTTTTTAAAACTAACACTTGAGTAAATTCTTTATAATTTTGATATAATGGATAGTTTTTAAGTATTAAATGTTATGTCTATAATTTTAACCCATGTGTTTCAGCTCTCCCATCTAGATCTGTTTCAGTGGATGAATCCAGGCCTGAACTTATTTTTAGACTAGCTGTGGGAACCTTTTCCATTTCTGTGCTTCACATCGATCCTTTATCACCACCTGAAACGTCATTGAACCTTAATCCATTGACGCCTTTGGCAATAGCTTTCTTTACCTGTATAGAAAAGATTGACCCAGCAAGATTTTCAACAGATGATTTTAAGTCTTTCCGGACAGTATTTGCAGAAGCTTGCAAACACGATCACCTTAGGTAAATTCTGTCATGTTTATTAATGATGCTTGAAAAAGAACCGTATGGGTGCTTTTTTATCTGCCTATTTCTTTTTTTGATTCGCATTTTATTTGTAAATGAAGGAATGAGTGAGGTTTTCTTGCAGTGCTACAAATATGTTTACCATAGAATCTCTTATTCAGGTTACTTGGCATGTAAAACTATTGCATATAAGATTGAGATAATCTGGAGTTTCCTCTGCTCTTGACAATTTTTAAGATTTTTTTTTTTAATTCATTGGTTGGAGAGAGCACACATGAGAAATGAGCAGGAAGTGGGGGCAGAGGCAGAGGGAGAAGCAGACTCCATGCTGAGCTGGGAGCCCAAGGTTGGGACGCAATCTCAGGACCCCAGGTTTTTGGCCACATTTTGCCAGTTAAAATATTGGCACCATTATAATAAAAAAATAGTTGTTTTTGTCACTGGCTCAGCAGAGATGGCAATGGTGCTGAGAGTGGAGTGGGCTCATGAGAAGGGACATGGACATAATACGACTCCCATGCCATTGTCGGTGGGCTGGGAGAGGGTACCAAGGCTGATCCTGAGCCTGGATGCTGTATTTTCAATTTCTGCTTTAAAAAGTTAAAGCCATCTGAGGGCACCTGGGTGGCTAATTTGGTTATGTCCAGCTCTTGATCTCAGCTGAGGTCTTGATCTCAGGGTTGTGAGTTCAAGTCCCAAATTGGGCTCCATGCTGGGTATGGAGCCTATTTAAAAACAACAACAACAAAATTTTATTTAAAAAACAAAACAAAACAAAACAAAAAAAACTGTCCACATAGCCAGTGATTCTTTCATGGTTTGAGTCTTAATGGATGAAGAGATAATTAAATTTGTAAGTATAATATTGTTAATATGTAAACATTGCTCATGTTAATATGAAAGTTTCTTTTGATTATATTTTATGTTAATGGTTTAGGCACATACATTAATATTTTAAGAAAAGTTTGACCTTTTGATTTGATTTTTTTTTTTTGAAGTGTTAAAATTAATTCACAGAGTAGTTTTTATATCTAGCAAAAGAAACTCTGCAAGCTAGGACCATAGTATTTATAATTAAACTGTAAAAACATTTGACAAAGTTTCAAATGTCTGCCAGTAGGAAATATAACAAAAGCAACAAAAACAGGAAGGTGACTTTTACTTGAGATCCACTGACCGAAGGTTTTGAAATATTGCATGAAGCTTTTATTTTTTTATTTTTATTTTTTAAGATTTCATTTATTTATTTGACAGAGAGAGAGATCACAAGTAGGCAGAGAGGCAGGCAGAGAGAGAGGAGGAAGCAGGCTCCCCGCTGAGCAGAGAGCCAGATGCGGGGCTCAATCCCAGGACCTTGAGATCATGACCTGAGCCGAAGGCAGAGGCTTAGCCTACTGAGCCACCCAGGCGCCCTGCATGAGGCTTTTAAGTGATTTTAAGAATCTATTACATATATTTTACAGATTTGAAAGTTTGTCTTTTTTTTTTTTTTTCACTGCAGTATAAACTTAAAAAGTGTCAAAGAAGGGAAGGCATTGTTGGGAAATAAATATATCCTGGATAATTTCCTATCAGACATTGCTTTCTTAATGTCAGGGAATGGGAAGTTTGAAGCACTCTTTCTGGTTAATACACTTAGGAATGTTAGTTATTGCTAACAACTTGAACTTGTGTTAATAGAGCACGATTATCCACCTATTGTTACGTGTACTATTCTTTGACACATTGGTTAACCTAGAGGTATACTCTTAAATGCTTCATTTTCTGTAATAGATTTATAGGAACTGGCATCAAAGTGTCCTATGAACAAAGACAAAGACCAGCTTCCCGATATTTTAGTACTGATATGTCCCTTGGGCAAATGGAACTCTTGGAGTGCCTGTTTCCAACTGATTCTCATTCTGTTCCTCCTCACTACACAGAGGTAAATGCTAGATACTTCGTCTTTAGGATTATTCTTTAAATCTGCCTTGCTTTTATAGGGTTGTATTAACAGCACTGATTTTATTTAAAAAAAAAAAAAGTATAAGAAGTCACAGAGGAAGGAAGTGTGCATGTGTGCGTGTATGCGTGTGCGCGCATATGTATTTTGTTGAAACATTTTAAAGTATGGCGTTCAAGGTCATTGTAAGAGTCTTAGAATTTTTAGAGTTGACTTGTTTTAGAGCAGCAGACAGGTAATGGGACAGTTGACTTTATTTCACTAACTTTCTAAGCACTATTAATTTCGGAAGAAGTCTGTTAAGTACTGAATACCCATAGTGTGTTAATAAGCGCTGTTCAAGGACAAGCAAAATGTCTTTTGTTCATTTATTATTAGTCTGATTTTTTTTTTTCCAATTTTAGAAGTGTGTGCTAGAGAAACTTTCCAAAGCTATCAAGATAACGTTTATTGCTGTTACTTTGCCCTTGTACATTATTTTATTTTCAGAGTACTGGCTTAGGCATTAATTCACTTGAATTCTCAGTATGTTCTGCAGATGAGATACTAAGTATCACAGAAATTAACTTGTCCAAGATTTACATTGCTTGTGAATGACCAAAATGAAACGTTAAAATCAGCTTTCCTGATTTCAAAAAAGTCTTTCCACCATTATTAGCACCTCTGTTAATTCATGGAATGAATTATAGTTCAAGATCTTAGAATTAACTTATTTCTGTCCTTGTTTGTAAGCTTTTAATGTTCCATTCCAAAGAACGAACGGATTCCCATCCCCCTGTGTGCCTTCAGCTTCATTATAAGCATTCTGAGAATAAAGGACCCCAGGTAAGAAGCCTTATTGTGTGCTACCACCTGTAAATTTTCATTTGATACATACTCTGTGACAGTCATACTGTTTCCACTTAATCTTGTTGTACTGTTAGTGATCATGTTAATGTTTTTTTTTTTTTTTGTTTTTTTTTTTAAGGGTAATCAAGCAAGACTAAGTTCTGTTCCTCAGAAAGCAGAATTACAGATTAAGTTAAATCCTGTGTTTTGTGAGCTGGATATCAGTATTGTGGACAGGTTAAATTCCTTGCTCCAACCACAGAAGCTTACCACAGTAGAGATGATGGCTTCGCACATGTATACTTCATACAATAAACATATTAGTCTCGTAAGTATTCAGAATATTACAAATACTAATCCCGAGTATAGCTAGCTAATGGGCTTAGTGGGATCATTCCTGACCTTAAGGATTCTCAATAGATTAAATAGCATATAGTATTAAAACAGCATTGTTCATAATGAAAAGATGGAGACTTTTTATGTCTGGATGGCAGACTAGCTGAGTAAGTTTTGTAGTAATATTGAGTGAAATTTTATGCGGCCATTTTGAATGAGGGTTATAAAGATGGTGTAGCAATATGAAGAAAACTCATGAAGTATTAAGAGAAAAAGTGAAACCTATTTTTCCACATAAACTTTTGTCACAACTGTGTAAATAGAACTGAGGTAGAGTGAAAGAATGGATAGAAATATACCAGTTGGTAGCATTGATTATGTTAGAGTGTAGAATTAGATTTCCTTTCCCTCTCTGTGTATATCTGAATTTTATAAATTATGATAATAATGTCTGCACAAAATTTATTCAGACATTCAGTCAACTACCTGGTCTACCTATAAAATGTAGCCCATCTATTGTAAGGTACCCTTTTGAAAGTGGGAACATAATGTATGCCGTTGTGTTATCAAGCATCCCATTTAGATCTGTCTGCTGCATGGTGTCTCTTCTAAGCAGTTCAAGTCAGATTTGCAAGAGATCTGTTAGGAATTTTGGGCTGGAATTGGGCAGGGGCGTTCTTAGACCAGGAACAGACAGAACTTTGGTTAAAAGAAAATGGAAGAGCTATTTTTCTACTTACTGTTTCCCCCTTAATTAGTGGTAGGTATTCACATTAAATCAACATCCTTTATTTTTTGTTGTCATCAATTACTTATATTTCCAGTTCTGCGGGGCTAGCGTGTATACTTGCTGTTAGCTGTACGCGTACGGGGGTGATGGTTAGTCTCTTGGGTTATTTTTGCTCAAGAGTGGGGGTTGGTATTACAGAGTCCAAGAGGGGAGAGAAAGAACAGGCGTGCTAAAACTCCCTGTCCAGGGTAAGAAAGGAACTCCCTGATCCAGGAGGTTAGACACTGATTCATGAAAGCGTGTACTGTAGTATAGTGTACTTTGTGTACTGTAGTGTACTCTGGGCTAAAGCTTTCTAAGCTTCAGTACATTTTAGAAAAACAAAACAAACTCCCCCAAAACAGAAATAGATTCTATTTAAAGGGCATGTTCTTTGACCCTTTCGTTGTAACCTGGCTTTGAGTAGAGAGTGCGCGTGTAGCTTGGTTTCTGAGGGTTGCTTGATGGGCTCGCACCCTTGGGTTGGACGGGAGCAGAGTGAGTCACTTGGTGAATATTTAAAACTTGGGCTGTGCCAGGCTCTAGGCTCAGTCCTGGAAATCTAAAGTTAAGTTGGGGATGGGCCCTGATATTTCGCATAATCTGTCTTATTTCCCATCGGGTCATTAAAGTAGCATTTAGTAGATAAAGCCTTCAAATTGAAAGTTGAATTGATTTTTAACTGTATTGGATTTATTGTAACCTAATTTACACACTGTTGTTTTTTTAGTCTATAGTAAAATGTGCATATCTATAGCGCCTGTGTCTTCACTTTCAGTTTTTATTTTGATTGATTTTGACTTACTTAGTTTAACTTTTGCCAGTTATTTGAAGTTTTATTAATAACTATTGCATTATAAAATTTCATTACACTAAATTAATATGGTAGTTAATGAGTTGTATTTTAATGCATTATACTGAATGAGGAATAGATATGATTATGTATATTGTAATGTTGAATATCCATGTCATTTATGTTTATCTAACTTGATGTTTTGGCATATTTTTGATATTTTGTGTCTTAGCACAAGGCTTTTACTGAAGTATTTCTGGATGATTCACATAATCCTGCAAATTGTCGGATATCAGTGCAAGTTGCCACACCGGCGTTAAACCTTTCCGTTCGCTTCCCAATACCTGATCTTCGGTCAGATCAAGAAAGAGGGCCGTGGTTTAAGAAGTCACTTCAGAAGGAGATCCTTCATTTAGCATTCACAGATCTAGAATTTAAGACTGAATTTATAGGAGGATCAACCCCGGAACAAATTAAATTGGAACTTACCTTTAGAGAACTAGTTGGTAAGATTGAATGGGCAGAGCCAGAGCAGAAACAAACTACTACTCAAGGAAACATGAAAAATTCTATGGTAGCCCCCAATATAGACACCATTAGAAAGCAAGAGTAATGACTTTTTTCCAGTATTGTATACCAATATGTAATAGAATTAATTTTTTTAAAAATTACTAAGCATGATTATTTACTTTATTAAAATACTTACTTTCAGAAATTACGTGGCAGGGGAGATACCATGATCACAAAAGTGGTTTTCCCAGGGTGAGGCTTGTCCATTGCACTCCAGATGTGCTGACCCCTGCGATTTCCCCAAATGTGGGAAACTCGACTGCATGATTTGTGGTAGTGGGGGATTGCGTTCACGCTTTCCCGTAAAAAAAAAAAAAAAAAAAAATTTCTACAGGGGAGTATAGTGCTTTAGCTTACTTTTTTTTTTTTTTTTTTGAAACATTTTATTTGGGGTCAGGGGAGCACGAACAGGGGCAGGCTAGAGGGAGAGGGAGAAGCAGGCTTTCTGCTGAGCAGGGACCCTGACACAGGGCTCCATCCCAGGACCCTGAGATCATGACCCAGGCCAAAAGCAGACACTTCACTGACTGAGCCACCTAGATGCCCCTTTAGCTTACATTTTTATTGCCACCTGACTTCTTACTTCTTGTAGGGCTGAAAGTAACCAGAATTTCTTGAGTGCCACTCTGTGTTAGGTACTATACCAAGCATTTCACATGTGTTACTGGTTTCCTTTCATCATCATGGTTATGTTAGGCTTATTATTTCCAATTATTTTTATCCTTTATTAAGTGAGGAATCCATAGACTTGAGAAGAGGTACCTTCCAAGACCACGTGGTAGTAAATGGCAGAATCAAGATTCAAACCGAAGTCTCACACTTGAGGTTTCAATCATCATACTAATCTCTGGTGACTTTTCTTTGTAAAGCCTGTTGACAGCTTTTCTGTATTTACTTTTGTCATCTGACAGAATATATGTTGACTTAGGGTAAACCAGGTCTATGTGGAACTCTGGAAGATTCTGACATTTCATTCTATGGTTCCAAATCAGCTTGCCTCTGCCACTACACCCTTCTAACCGCACATTCCCTGCCACCATATCCTGCTTCTCCATCTCGGGGGATAGGCTGCAAAGTATTTTTTCCCTTGTTCTGAGTTTTACGCATCTTTAGAGATATTTATAATTGACTTGATGATGATGACTTCATGAAAGGGCCTTTAGGAGTTGTCTGGTGTTCTCTTATCTACAGTGGGAAGAAACATTATTCTAGAGGAAAGTCATTCTTTGTAAAATGGACGGACAAGCATGCATAGGGTTATTGTGAGTGGAAGTAATTCTTCCAGTGCTTGGTACAAGACATTTAAAAAATATAGTTATTATCTCTATGTTCCTATAATTGCATAAACTTTGATGTAGAATAACCATTCAGTGGCAGTACGTGGCAACTGCTGCATTTAGTGTGTCATGATTATGTACCCGACACATTAAACTTGGTACCTAAGAATTGGAGTTTGAACAGAAGACATCATCTTTATCTGCTCCTTCTGTCTCCCCACATGTACCCATGAAACAGGAACAAAAGAATAAGTACTGTGCAACCTAATGTTGCCCTGTGTCCTTTCCTGTGCAACTTAATGTTGCCCTGTGTCCCTGATTCAGAAGATCTTTGCTTATGTTAGGAGGAAGCGATCTTTAAGCACTTGAGAAGAAATGCACTGTAGTTAATCAGTCTTGTTTTACTAGGGTCATTCCAGGAAGATAAAGGAGAACCGTCTGTTAAGTTTTTCCATGTGTCTAGTGGAGTAGATGGAGATACAGCATCATCAGATGACTTTGACTGGCCACGGTGAGTAAGCAGGTGGATATGATAGACATTTAATGAGATTATCCTTTCAAAAATGCTGTACTTTTTTTTTAAAGATTTATTTTGAGAACATGTGTGTAGGGGGAGGGGCAGAGGGCAAGGAAGAGAGAGAATCTGAAGCAGACTGCACGTACCAAATGAGAGCCCCACACAGGGCTTGATCTCAGGACCCTGAGATCGTGACCTGAACTGAAACCAAGAGTTGGTTGCTTAACCGATTGTACCACCCAGGTGCCCCTGCTGTAGTACATTCAGTTGACGTTTTGGCGCTCAATTTAAACTAAAAATACTCAGCCTTGATGAGATAACACAGAGAAAGTTGGACAAATTAAGTTGACAAATCCAGTGAGGGTACTACTCTATGAAAGGTGTCTGTCAGTACTGTGAGAGATGAAGGAATAAAGAGTGTTCCCTGGTCCCAAGTCACCCCGTTTAATTAGAGGGACAGAAAAGAATCATTAACCATTTAAAAGAAATAGTTCAGAGCTACAGTAGAAGAGTTATATGCATCATTTGGTTAGTTGTCAAGTGAATTTTATAGTACGTGATTGCTTTAGGGCACTTGTTCAAATCATGGGCCTTACCCTGAGATTTTGGGGTAGAGCCTGGGCATCAGGGTAGTCTAAAAATTACACCAGGTGATTCCGGCGTGCAGGCGGATGTCAAGAATCACTGCTTCGGATTTCTTAGGAGAATTAATAAAGTAATATTTATATTTGTTAGAGATCATTAATTATTAACATTTGTTAATTACTCATTATATATTATATATTATAGCAAGACTATTAATAGCCTGATAGTGGGCTTGGATATATTTAAAAGGACTTAGTTTACTTGAAATAATAACTTTTATTATATTGAAAACTAAATAATATTTGAGAATTAATCTTTTTTTGTGCCAGCCTTTTTCCTACCTGTCCCTGTGGGTCAGACCTAGCAGGCTCCTGGGAGAGGTGTGATCAGGACGTGACTGATAATGAGCAGTTCAGTGCCCGAGTGTTCATCATAAGAAATGGGTTTACTTCAATTAATTTGGAGCACAGTTTACATTAGGATATCTATAAATTAGGAAACAGTTATGATTGTTCATAAGGGGAGCCAACTGGCACCACTTATTTGGGGGGAAAACCCACTATAGATGCCCCACAGTGGTTTGCTTTGAAGGCACCAGGCGTCCTGTCTATAGCGTTGGGAAGGAAACGGCAAAGCCTTTGCTAGTGATGTGCAGGGAGTAGGAAAGCAGGGGCCCAGGGTGTCTGCTTCTTTACTTCAGGTTTGTGTCTTCAGTACAAGGCAAGCCTTTTGTTACTGAAATTCCTGAAGGAAAATGGTACTTTATTGTTTGCAGTTCTAAGTTGTTCTTTTATCAGTCTCTTTTTCCATTTGAACAATTTCTATGGCAGAAGTTCTCTTAGATGTGTAATACTCTGTCATAGAACAGACCCCAGAAGCATTTGGTTTCAGGAAAATAGATAGAATTCTTAGGTCAAATTTGCCAGCTGTTAGTGAAATTGAAAGATAACTGTCCTCACAAGGTCAGATTTTCAGTTAGCTAAGTATGAAATATTAATGCCCTTCTTTTATTTGTTTTCATCCATTCTACATTTTGAAGTTTACAGCACACTCAGAAGTGGTTACATGAGACATAGGCTTTGTAGAGAAGCTGAGTCCTATCATCACTGGTCTTTGTATCAGTGCAGAAAAGTTAAAGCCTTGCTGTTCACACTGAGACCTTGACTTCTTAAATTGTCTCTGCTGTCAGAATTGTACTGAAATTAAACCCACCAGCTGTGCATTCCATTTTGGAGAGAATAGCAGCTGAGGAAGAAGAGAGTGACGGCCGCTATCAGGAGGAGGAGGAGGGAGGTGCTCATTCCCTGAAGGATGTTTGTGATCTGCGAAGACCAGCCCCATCTCCCTTCTCGTCGCGGAGAGTCATGTTTGAAAATGAGCAGGTAAAATACAAGTGAGCAACGAAGGGGTTGTCCTTTACCATACAGCAGTCCTTTTCATTCTTTGTTTTTGAAGAAGCACTTGGTATACTGTGCTAGGCTCTTAACTCTAAGACTGAATAATATTTTTTTTCTTCCCTGGTTCAAAGTTACATGCTTATTTATCTGTTTAGGCAAGAAGATGCTACTATTACTTTAAACATGAAAGGGTTATTTGATGCTTTTTTTGCACTGAACTCTTATATTTTAGATGGTGATGCCAGGAGACCCTGTGGAAATGACAGAATTTCAGGATAAAGCAATCAGCAATTCTCACTACGTGCTGGAACTTACATTACCCAATGTTCATATAACACTACCTAATAAACGCTTTTATGAGAAGCTTTATAATAGGTGAGTTTCAACACATTTTTTTTTTAAAGATTTTATTTATTTATTTGACAGAGAGAGATTACAAGTAGGCAGGCAGAGAGAGGGGGAAGCAGGCTCCCTGCTGAGCAGAGAGCCTGACGTGGGGCTGGATCCCAGGACCCTGAGATCATGACCTGAGCCGAAGGCAGAGGCTTAACCCACTGAGCCACCCAGGCACCCCAGTTTTCGGTACATTTAGTTGAGTCTTTGGGATTGGACTTTTCTGCCTAACTGCCTCCCTATTTCCCCATGTTCCCCTTTTCTTTCCTTGCTTATATATTATATATCATCTCTGGGTACTTTGTATGGTGTTGATTACAAAACTGGTAACTGTTGCGGTGGGCTGTTGTAATAGCAGAGTTTCCTAACCAGTGTGTCTAGTAAGTAGGTTACTTCTACGTGATGTTTATTCCTTCCACCTATGTTGGCTGTTTGCTGTCCATCACCTTACCACAGAGTTCTGGGCAAATGTCTTCTATGTGTGCAGTGACATGAAAAGAGTTTGGAGACCCCTTTATGGAGGGCCAGCAGGTGCCGGGGTAAAATCAGAATCCTACAGTCTTTGTTACAAGGAACATCCTTTTTTCAGAGTTTCAAAACGCATCTTAGAATTCTAAAACTCCGGCGTGTCAACTTGTATATCACAATTTAAATTGATTGCAAATATCCGTAAATATATATACAAAGCAAATATGTTGAAATAAGTAGCATTCTGGAGTTAAAAGAGCCTAGACTCTGAATTCCTTCACAGCTGACCTGACCTGAGCTTAGTTTCCTCATGTATAAAATGTAGATGATACTTGAACCTGTCTCAGAGGGTTGTTTGGAGCATTAGATGATACGGCACTTCAGAAGTTTGGAGAACAGTGCCTGACAAACAGTAAGCACTCAGTAGTCCTCTGTTACAGTCCTCCTTCCCATCCACTGAAGGAATCACTTCTATAGCGTACCTGAAAGATGGTCATGTGCTTTTCTAGAAGAAAGATGTTCTTAGTGTCAGTCATCACTAGCTTCTCCTATGTGAGACCGTGCTTCTTGTTTCTATCAGTCTTTAGAAGCTGTACTGTTTCTGCTATACGTTTTCTTGATATCAGATATCTCTGGCCCTTTATTCCGTAACTGTTAATAATAAGCTCTGGATCTCCTTATTGCTTGTTAGTGACCAGGATTATTGGTCTTAGAATCAGAAAATTAAGTTCCAGAAAGATCTGCTTTTTGTTGTCTTGATGATGAGATTCACAGGATGGTCCATATGAGATGTAGGAAGAAAATGCTAGTTCTTCTGTTTAACTTAAAAAAAAAAAAATCTTTTTTTTAATGATTTATCTTAGCATGTGCAGAAGTGCGAGAGAGAGAAAGAATCTCAAGCAGACACCATGCTGAGTGCGGAGCCCAACATGGCGGGCCTTGATCTTACAACCCTGAGATCACAATCTGAGCCAAAACCAAGAGTTGGTGGCTTTATTGTGCCACCCAGGCACCCCTACAGTCTTTAAAATTTTTTTTTATATTTGTTTTATATTATACATATGTGTATAAGTAGTAGCCTATGATTTATAAATTTGTATCAGAGGCTTTTACTGTGTTTTTGTTTTTAGCTGTTACACATGATCTAAAGTTTGGAAACTACTGACCCCCTAGACCGTTCTTCTCTTATAGTTAGGAATATCTACCAAGAGTTGACAAATGGGCAAGGCTAAGACTGAGCAAAATGAAACAACTAGTTCAGGATCTAACCTAGAGGTCAGAAGAGCTTAATTGGTTTCTTTCTCTTTTTGCATTTGCTTGAGCAGGTGGCTGTTGGTTAAATTTGGGACATCAGAACAGAAACATGCACCTTAAACATTCAGTTTACAAATATGTTCATTTATAATTTCTGTTTAAGTTGCAAGACAAGGCCTTTCTTTTCTTCCTTTTAATATGAGCCACATGTGGAAGTTTTACATAATACATGGTTTTGTCTACAGTTTTAAGTTACTGAATAGTTTCAAAGGAATCTGAATGTAAAATCCTTCCCGGTTTTTAAGATTTTTTCCACCTCCGTCTGTATATTTATGTCGTGTTAGGTATACTTTAACTCAATATTATGCTAACAACAATACATACAGGTGAGATGAACACATTTGAGGCCAAACACAGTTGGCAGTTGGTGAATATACAGAACAAAGAGCTCACCCGACAGGAGCAGACTTCTTCGGTGTGCTGGAGCCTCATCCTGAGGAGCCAGCGGTTAGCATATGGGGGATGCCCGTCAGTATGGTGGCGGGGGGCAGGGGGGATTGATCGCTCAAATCTGGTAACGAGCGAGTTATCTGTTCTTCTGCAGAGTTGGTTAAATAGTGGTTTTTTTTGAAGATTTTATTTATTTATTTGACAGAGGTAGATCACAAGTAGGCAGAGAGGCAGGTAGAAAGAGCGGGGGAAGCAGGCTCCCTGCTGAGCAGAGAGCCCGATGCGGGGCTTGATCCCAGGACCCTGAGATCATGACCTGAGCCGAAGGCAGAGGCTTAACCTACTGAGCCACCCAGGCACCCTGAGTAGTGGTTGTTGAAGAGTGTTTCTGTTCTGCCTTACTCTGCTCACTTCTCTGGCTCTTAGGTACCGACAGTTACATAAATGTTGAAGTACTCCCTCCCGCTGTGCGGCATATAAATCGCATATCTAAGTTCTTCAGGGTGTGAATTCTTTGTTCCTCATTTGGCTTTGAATAGGTCTATTTTTATTTTGAATTAATATATATATTTTTTGAGTTAATAGTGTTTCAAAGTTTTCATATATTCTCAAAATTACAGGAAAGTTGCAAGTATAGAACAAAGAGCTCCCCGCCCCACCGCCAAACCAGCTGAGAGTAAGCTGATGACTCGATGCCCCTCCCTGAGCACTCGAGTGTGTATTTCCCAAGGACAAGGATATTCTTATACATAATTTTCTCATTTTGATGGCTGAATTATGATTAATAATCTGTATTATCTAATCCTCACACCCCAGTTGAGTTTTGCTAAATGTTTGCTAAATATTGCCCTTTTATCTATGTAATTTTTTAACAAATTTTTTAAAAGATTTTATTTATTTATTTGACAGAGAGAGAGATCACAAGTAGGCAGAGAGGCAGGCAGAGAGAGAGGGGGAAGCAGGCTCCCCGCTGAGCAGAGAGCCCGATGTGGGGCTCAATCCCAGGACCCTGAGATCATGACCTGAGCCGAAAACAGAGGCTTAACCCACTGAGCCACCGAGGTGCCCCTATCTATGTAATTTTTAAAATTTATTTTTAGTTTTTGTTTCATACACTAAAAAAGACTTTCTGAGGAAGAGATATAACCAACTCTGCCTTAACTTCATACGTTTTAGGATCTTGGTTTAGTCCTCTAGTGCTGTGGTCAATGGGCTCTTTTTATTTTTATTTATTTATTTATTTATTTATTTAATATTTTATTTATTTATTTGACAGAGAGCTAGAGAGCACAGGTAAGCAGAGCGGCAGGGAGAGGGAGAAGCAGGCTCTCTGCTAAGCAGGGGGCTCAATGTGGGGCTCGATCCCAGAACCTTGAGATCATGACCTGAGCTAAAGGTAGCCGTTTAACCGACTGAGCCACCCAGGTGCCTCTTTTTAGATAGACAGTCTCATGGAACAGGAGGATTTTTTCTATTAAAGTCCTTTAGAGTAGCATATAAAAGACTTTTCACTAGCTTTGTTAAATCAGATGTTTTTTGTCTGTTACGTTTTAGGCTTATAGCCACAGAATCATGGTGATGTGTCCTTAAATATCCTTTTTAAAAAAATATCTATTTGAGAGATAAGAGTGAGAGAATCCCAGGCAGACTCCCTGCTGAGTGAGGAACCCGACCTAGGGCTCAGTTCCATAACCCTGAAATTATGACCTGAGCCAAAATCAAGAGTCAGATGCTTAACTGACTGAGCCGCCCAGGGGTTCCTTTGTCCTCAGATATCTTGAGTGCTTTCTTTCTGGTGTTGGAAACAGCATCCAGTGTTTTACGGTATTAATATGAAGACTGTGTTTAGACCAAAATGTAAATAAGGAAAACGCAAAATCATATAATGCTTACATTTAAGAACTCCAGGTTTTACCATAAAGTCATAGTTTCTCTAACCTATGAAGATAAGAGAATGGTTTAAGGAATAAACTTAGGGAAGGGCATTTTCTGAGAAAATTCATTTTATATCTTCATTATTTACAAAGGGGTTTAGAGTAAGATCCGGTTTAGACTCTTGTTTCTTTGTCCTATGAGCAATATACCTGAGAAGCAGTGAGTCAGTGAGTACCACACAGTCTGGGGCATAGCTATCTATGTTGTGTCTGAGGTGAGACCTATTTCTGCCCTGTATCCCTGGTGTTCTTCACCTACAGATGGTTCCAGATGGAGAGCTTTTGGGGTGGGGATTTCAGCCTACTGAGAGTCACGGTACTCGGTCCTGGTTTATACTTTCTAAGCTTAGGACTTGGCCCAGGAAGTTCCTAGACAAGTGGCTTCTCACAGGAAGGGCCAGGCCTATGTCATCGCTTGGCACCTTGATTGGTATTCACACTAGGCTTTACCATGAGGCTGTGCCTTTGGCAGTCCTGCCATGCGAGTCATCCATGGTCCTCTCAGCTGCAAACCCTCAGTGCCTGCTGCGTGACAGCCACTGTGCTAGGCACAGATAAAGATGACCAAGACCTAAGGCCCTTTCTCTGAGAGGCTACAGTCTTGGAAGGGGAAGCAAGAAAATCCTGTTACAGGCTCCATGATTGAGTTACGTATGTGAAGGATTCACTGTGGGTCCAGATCTTAACAGCAGGCTTCAGAGAGGACATTGTGAAGTCTGAGTATTAATAGAAATGTTAGAGCAGGGGTGATAATGGGGGGTGGGGGGATAGGAGCAGGAGGGCATCTGAGTAGTGACAGATATTTCTTTGAAAAAGTAGGATGTGCTAGTAGTCTAGCTTGATGTGTATCACCCATTAATCACCAGGATTGACTTGGCTGTGCAGCAAGTAGAGGGTTTCCTGTCTTTGTTCCTATTTCGGATGCATTCTTAGTCCATGCCCACTTCCCAGGGAAGTGGTGCTTTCTGTGGGAGAGAGAGAGAGAGAAAGGAGTTATCCCTAGGAACAGTGAGTAATGAGGAGAGCTGAATTGGGTTTGGGAGCTGGACAGGATCTGGGCTGTGGCCCTGGTCCTCCCACAAATTAGCTGTGTGACCTTGGGTAAGGCACTTAACCTTTAGGAGACAGTTTCTCCAAGTGTGAAGTGAGAGTAATGATTCTTCCTGCTGCCCCATGGGATTGGCGGGGCTGGGGTGGGGGCGGGCAGGGTGGGGGCAGGTTCGGGGGTTGGGGGAGACAGGGCAGCTGATGAGACAGCGTGCTGTTACTGTTTATAGAGTTGCTCTCCAGTGTGAACAGCCTTTCCTCTGTTCTTTTAATGTTTTTAAAGTTACTTCCTCCTGTAAAGTGCATTTAGGTGTATGTAATTTGGTGCACACAGCATAGGTAAAAGCAGGCAGATAGCTAATTGTACCTAATTGTACAGATTTTTTTCTTACTGCCCTCAGTAGAGCCGCATCAGTAACTTCCATTGAAAGGACATAATGCTTTTTAAAACAAACAAACAAACAAAAAAACCTACTTTGTAGGATCTAATTTCTATTTCCCATTTAGAAAAATTATTGTTCATGTGACTTTTTTTTTTTTAACTTTTAAAATTATTTATTTATTTATTTATTTGTTGGAGTGGGGTGGGAGAAGAGATCACAAATAGGCAGAGAGGCAGGCAGAGACGGGGAAGCAGGCTCCCCGCCAAGCAGAGAGCCCAATGCGGGGCTCCATCCCAGGACCTTGAGATCACGATATGGGCCGAAGGCAGAGGCTTAACCCACTGAGCCACCCAGGCACCCCGTTCATGTGACTTCTTAAAGACATGTTCTTGAGTTTAACTTGAGCTAAACTATGAGTTACGTATTTTTCAACTTTTGTCTTCCATAGGATCTTTAATGACTTGCTGCTGTGGGAACCAACAGCTCCTTCACCAGTGGAGACATTTGAAAATATTTCCTATGGTATTGGTCTTTCTGTAGCCAGTCAGCTGATTAACACCTTCAACAAAGATAGTTTTAGTCCATTTAAATCCACAGTGCACTACGGTAATATATTTTAAATTTGTTCTGACTTAAAATGCCGTTTTTATCAATAAAGCAGTAACCTTTTCAAATGATAGATTTTAAAATGTTTCTTGGATATTTTCCCCTTGTAACTATATTTTATATCTTTTAGTGATTTATAGTATTTCTCCTCTTCTATCTATATACTGCGAATATTATAAATTAAATGTTATCTTTATAGTGATAGTATGTACATTGTTTAAAGTTCAGTGCAAAAGAAAAATACAGAAAGTACATTTTTATTGTCCTGTAGATTCTTGGTGAAAAATTGTTGTAAAATAGGTATTTTGGGGATGATACTCCAGTTGCTATTTTATTTCCATGGGCTATATCACTATGACATTTATTTCTCACAGATGAGGAGAGTGGATCTGAGGAGGAGACGCTGCAGTATTTTTCTACTGTCGATCCCAACTATCGTTCCCGTAGGAAAAAAAAACTAGATTCTCAGAACAAGAACTCACAGAGTTTTCTCTCAGTTCTTCTGAGTATTAACCATGGACTAATGGCAGTGTTTACAGATGTTAGGGTAAGGATTTGCAAAGGCAAAGTATTGTTTCAGTTATATTTTACTTTAAACGCACCATGGTTGCACCTGCCATCAGTGAGGTGGCGGGAGGTTGTTTGAATGCCTGTGGAAGGTCCAGGTTCTGAGGTGCTCTGCCCTGACGGCGGCTTTGGACAGTGAGCTTTTCACTGTGGATCGCAAGACGAACCTTGTGTGGTTGCAAACATGCTGGTTCTGCTGAGGTGATCACTAGTAATTTACCTGTTAGAGAGGACGGTGAAGTTGGGGATTCACTCTGCATGGGGGACCCTGCACAGCATTTCGTGCCACCACGTTGCGTAGCTTGGGATTCAGACCGCTTTGCTGCCGTGTGGGAGAATCCTCTAGGCTGTATCAGGAAGGGGCAACCCAATGGGCATTCTGACTTTTCTGCATTTAAATAATGACTGGTGGGTGTCAAACGCAAGTAGTGAATCATGGAACACTATCAAAGACTAGTGATGTATGCTGACTAGCAACAAAATGAAAAAAATTAATGACTTCTGTGTTTTTCTGATCTTTTTATTAGCAAGATAATGGAGAGCTGTTGGAAAATAAGCATGGCGAGTTCTGGTTAGAGTTCAACAGTGGTTTGTTGTTTTGTGTGACCAAGTATGAAGGCTGTGATGACAAACACTACATCTGCCTTCATTCCAGCAGTCTTAGTCTCTACCACAAAGGTAGGACATACGTTGAATGTGTGTTCTGTTCACCTCTGTTCAGACCCATTTACATTTTGTTTAATAAAGTTTTTTTTTTTTTAAAGATTTTAGTCATTCATTAAAGAGAGAGAACACAGGTGGGGGGAGGGACAGAGGGAGAAGGAGAAGCAGACTCCCCACTGAGCAGGGAGCCCCACATGGAGCCCAGTCCCAGGACTCTGGGATTGGGACCTGAGCTGAAGGGAGATATGTAACCATCTGAACCACCCGTGTGCCCCCTAGTAAAGAAAATCTGTTGAGAACAGAATTCTCATATTAGAGATTATTTTCTGTGGAGTGTTCTGATTCCACCGGCAAAGTAATACTTACCATAAATTATATGTTGACTTTTTTTCTGGGTAACAACTTTATTGAAGTACAGTAGTTCATGTAGCATACAATTAACCCATTTAAACTATCTATTTCACTGGATTTTAGTATTTCACAGAGTTGTTGTAACCATCATCACGATCAACTTTAGAACCTTCCCGTCGCCCCCAAAAGCAGCTGTGCACCCTTTAGTTGTACCCTCCCATGGCTCTTCAACACCCCACCCCCCAGCACTAAATAACTTCTAATCTACTTGGCCTCGTGGATTGTGTATTCTGGGTGTTTATGGACTCACATAATATATGGTCTTTTGTGACTGGCATGACGTTTTCAAATACGAAAATATGGCATGACGTTTTCAAAGTTCATCCAAGTGTAATTCCTTTTATTCCTTTTACTGACAAATTATATTCCATTTTATGGATGTGCTGTATCTTATTATCCACTAATGAGTTGATGGGACTTTACATTCGTTACTCTCTCTCTTTAGTAGCATTTTCTTTTGGTAACAAAAAGAATTTACCATCTTTTGAGCACTTTCCCTGTTCCCCTGTGAATAGAAGATACAAATTCTTTTTTTTTTTCTTCAAAGTACAGAAAATACTTTGCACAGTCTTAACCTTTATCAGATTTTTAAAATTTAATTCTCTTAGCATTTCATAATTTTTTTTTTTTTTAAGTAGGGTACTATCAGTCATACCAACATTAGCAGAGAGGTACAGATTATTAATGTGCAGCTGGTGCTTGGTCATTTTTACCTCCAGGATTATATTCAGTGGAAGCATATGGATTTTTGTTTTGAGTTGTGAAAGTCTGTGAACTAATGTCCGGTTATCATTTTGTTTCATTGTCACCTTGTTGTTGATGTAGGTGTGGTAGATGGAGTGATTCTCCCTACAGAAACACGACTGCCCAGTTCAACCCGCCCACACTGGTTGGAACCTACTATTTATTCCTCTGAGGAAGATGGCCTCAGTAGAGCTTCTACAGATGGCGTTGCAGGAGACACTTTGAATATGCTTTCTGTTGCAGTTAAAATACTATCTGATAAGTCAGAGTCCAATACAAAGGTTTGTGTTTTGTACTTTTATATCATTAAAGACTTGTTCATTTGATTACTAGCTAAAAGTGATTGCATGAAAGACAACATATTCATTAGAAAAACTTTTTAAGTTTGAATAAGAGGATTATGTAGGTGATCAGTGTAACTTTTTTATAGGAATTTCTCATTGCTGTGGGGCTGAAAGGAGCCACACTGCAGCACAGAATGCTTCCTTCTGGGCTTAGCTGGCATGAGCAGGTAAGAGTTGTTATGTACATATCGATTTGCTTTTTACTTTATGTTGACATGTAATACACACACTGTAGAGGCACAAATCAGAGATGATCAGTGTGCACTGAATTATCATTGAAGTAAATACTCCATATAACCACCTCTTAGGTTAGGAAATAGAACATTATCACCACTCCAGAATGAAGTTGATTTTTTAACTTCAAGTTTTGACCCTAAACATCTCAAAGGCAGACCTATCTTTTAAGTCATTTAAGGGAAAGGACTCTCTGTCCCAGACTCTGTAGAGCACCTGACATAGAGGAGCGACAAATGATGTGTTGACTTGTCCTCACTCCTTAAGTGTCATAACTTCACAATTACTCCCTAGGCCAGTAACATGCTTCGAGGCATTTATAAGGATTTCTGTAATTAATTTACAGTGTTTGATTAGTGAAATACATTTGGCTCTTTTCTAATAAAAATGAAAATGAGTGCACTGTGATTCTTGTTCATTTTCTTTAGAAAGAGGAGCTTTTTCTTTGTGCTGGAAAATAGTAAAATATTTTTATACCTGCAGGTTTCCAGAGTGCTTTCATAAAAGTATTTAGGAAACCTGAGGAGATCTAGATCTCTGTGGCAAGGGTAGAGAGATAGTTGGTGTGAACACTGAACTCAGTTGTAAGGGGGAGATTTAGTCTAACCTCATTTAGATAGAAATACAGGAGAATAGATGTTGGTAAGACAGTCTGGTTTTCAGACTGAGCTAGGTATAATATAAGGAAAAAAAGCTTTTCCCAAAAGTGGGTTACATAGAAAACCAGATGGAGTGTAAGCAATCTTCAGCAAAGTTTATTTATTTATTTTTTCAGGAATTGTCCCAAGCAAAATAATGTGCAAGCATATTATACATACTTTAGTTTGCATAATGATTTTGTTATGAATTATATCTTTGACAAGATATAATTTTCTCAAGACTTTATAGCATTGCAATTGTCAGATGGGGCTGGCTCTTCATTTCAAACTCAGGAGTGGTTTTGCAAATACTTTTTAAAATGAATTGCTTCAAAATGATGATTTTTTTTCCTTTTAGCATTGATTTTTTTCCCCCCAAAATGGTTGCTTTTTTTGTGAGATATTTTACATTGGTATTAAGGCTATCCTATCAAACCTTTTTTCCCTTCTAAAGCAGGGCATTTTATATTTTTGTTTTTGTAGATTTTATACTTCTTGAACATTGCTGATGAACCTGTTCTGGGATATAATCCTCCAACTTCGTTTACAACTTTCCATGTGCATCTCTGGAGCTGTGCCCTTGATTATAGGTCAGTTCGCAAATGGAACAAAGTAAAGCTTTATTCAAAATGTGTGTCAAGTTTTGAAAAAAATACGTAATTCAGATTGTAGAATTAAGGTTCAAAATGTTCTTTTAAGGGAATTTCTGTTGTTGCAGCAAACTGATGTTATTTGTTTCTTTTTGGTATTAGACCTCTTCACTTGCCGATCCGATCTCTTCTCACTGTGGAAACCTTCAGCGTTTCGAGTAGTGTTGCCTTGGACAAATCCTCGTCTACTCTCAGGTGCCTGGATAAACTTGACTGTCTGCCAAATGCAGCTCTTCCAAACATGCTGTCTGGTGTTGAGCTAACTTCTTTGACTGACATCCCAACCTTTTGTAAAAATCAGCATTCTTTTGCTCATAGTCATGTCCCTTTATCCAGGTTTTCAATTTTTCATTTTCAGATGATTCATCTTATCTCTTCTGTTTATCATTGTTTTTTATTTTTAGAGATGAAATGGATTCTTGAGATGGTTTACTTTTAAAAACAGAAATCTAAACTTCCTACACTACTTGATAGCACTTTATTTTCACAATTTAGATCTTCTGAATGTGGGTACTATTAAAAAATGCTGAAAATGTAAAATTAATTGGCGCAGATGATTCGGTCTCTCTCTTTTTTTGGATCCATTCGGATTTTATTTTTGTGAGTGGTGTGAAGTATAGATGTAATTTTTTTTTAATTTATTTTTTCAGTGTTCTGAGATTTCATTGTTTATGCACCACCCCCAGTGCTCCATGCAATCCATGCCCTCCTTAATACCCACCACCAGGCTCACCCAACCTCCCACCCCCCATCCCCTCCAAAACCCTCAATTTGTTTCTCAGAGTCCACAGTCTCTCATGGTTCATCTCCCCTCCAGTTTGATTCATTCTCATTCTTTACACCATTTAAATATTTTCAGCACTCAGAAATAATGAGTTTTAAAGAAATGTTAGACACCACTTGTAAGAAACTACATGGGACTTTGATAACTTGTACATCAGAAGAATGATACAACGAAGTATGTCATGATCACGCATTGTGTATTCAGAGTTAATTTTTTGGATGTTTTTAATATTGTTTCCTCAGAATAATCTTGGATGAAGCTGCTTTGCATTTGTCTGACAAGTGTAATACTGTTACTATAAATTTGAATAGAGGTAAGAGTTGAAAAAATTTGAGATAGATGAATGTTCTTTAGTTTTCATATGTGAATATTTTAGAGCATTTGAACTCTGGAATAATGCTATTGAACTAAGGATCTTATTAAATATCAGTTGAAGTTGTACTGTCCTTAGAATGTCAGTTAAGTTTATCAGATTACATGTACTGTATTTAATGTAAGACTTGTTTTGTTCCTAAGTAAAATAAAGGGAATTACAGGACTTTTGTAGGATGAAACTATATTTCCATTCAATTCTAAATATTTGTACCACTAATTGCCATGAATTTTAAAGAGATGCTAGTTTTTTTTTTTTTTTTTTTTAAGATGCTAGTTTTATTACGTTTTGGTTGGATATGCATTTTTTTGAAGGCCTTACTCAGATATTTTGTTAACTTAAAAAATTTTAGATTATGTTCGTGTGATGGATATGGGGCTTTTGGAATTAACCATAACTGCAGTGAAATCTGATTCCGATGGAGAACAAGTAAGTTATTAAAATAAATGGAAATTTTTACTTCTATTTTTTTATAGGAGAGACTAAAGAATTGAATTTACTGTAAAATTATTTTGGTCGGGGTGCCTAGGTGGCTCAGTCAGTTAAGTGTCTGCCTTTGGCTCAGGTCATGATCCCAGGGTCCTGGGAGAGAGTCCCACATCGGGCTCCCTGCTTCTCCCTCTGCCTCTCTCTCCATCTCTCATGAGTAAATAAATAAAATCTTTAAAAAAAAAAAAAAAAAAAAAAAAAAAAATATATATATATATATATATATATATATATATATATATATAATTATTTTGGTCAAAAATAGATAAAATATTTTCAAATTAGGATATAGTTAAAATATACATTTCCTGTGGCAAGGAAAATTCTATTTTATGTAATGTAAGCCTATGCAAAAGAAGAACTTTCTACTCCTGTTTGAAAAACCTGTTCATTTCTTTTATTTCCCTCCAGACTGAGCCACGCTTCGAGCTACACTGTTCCAGTGACATTGTGCATATCAGAACGTGCTCGGACTCTTGTGCTGCACTCATGAATCTCATTCAGTACATTGCAAGCTACGGGGACTTACATGCAGCCAACAAGGTGGAGATGAAGCCTGGAGCCCCTCAGAGAAAGATGAAGGTATAGCCAGCAACATGATTCATTAGAACTAACTCACCCTGGACACCTTGCAGTCACGTGCGTGACGTGTATGCATCAGCGAGGTCTTTATGACAGTCATGAGGTAGAAAAGAAACTGAAAAATCACCCATCTGTTCTTTCCCTTCAGGGTGATGGGTCTGGAAAGATGACTCCATAGGCCTTTTTGGAAAACCATTCTACCATTTGGTATACCTTGTTTTAGAACATTAATCTTCTCAGCCAACACAATCCTATCTTCCAGACTTGAATTATTTTCATCTCCCCTCCAGGAAGAAAGAACACCTGTAGCGCACGAGAGCTTGTTCTATGGCATTCGTTTGTAAAACTGCTTATGACAGGATAGATACAAGCGTTAGTATTATTACCGGAAGATTTACGTAATCTTTTGTTTGTTACATATGATTCTGTTCGGTTTTCAGTGTATTTTCTTGTTTGTGATTTCCTTGAATTCAGTGTGATAAAGACGGAAGATTATCATCTCTGTTTCAAAGATGAATAAGTTAAAACCCAGAGAATTAGGCGATTTGCCCAAATTAAGTAGCAGAAATAGCAACAAAACTCAGATACTTTTATTTATGGGTCAGGGCTTTCTCATGCCCCCAAGTATCACCTCTCTGTCCTCTCTTATGTACAGATTGAACAAAGTCTGGTTTGTTTAGCGTTTTTAACTTTTTGGTGGTTTTTCATTCTTTCTCATGGCCTGCTCTGTGAACAGGATTCTCAGTCTCGTAGATAATGGAGCCTCTAGTAAGGGTCTGACTGGCCTTGCATTGTCTTTTGTTCAGATGCTCCTGCACTTCATCCATGTTATGCTTCAGGTTTTGACTCCTTGCTCTTGCCATTTTCTCATTGATAAGAAGGCAGTTCATGACACTCCCTCTCTACTGTTTATTTTCTTTTTAAAGACATTCTCCAGTTTATTGAAAGTTGTTTTAAATTATCCCTTTCAAATTGGATCTTTCATTTTAGAGTCATACTCCCATTTAAAAAGCCTGGGCTGGATATAATGAACCCACATTTCACTAACCAAAATGTTTAAGCACCCGTGCTGGAGTTGAACCCTGTGGGTCCCCACGTGGTAGATTTCCCCCGCTGTTTATGTCCCCTCCTTACCCTTCATTGTCCGTCCGTTCTAAGACATGAGACTCCGCCCTCCAGCGGCTTTGTCCATGGGGTGAGAGTTGGGGAAGCCCCCAGATTTGAGCACTCTGCAGAAGGAGACTGCTTCCCCCCAGGCCTCACTACAGTGTTCTTAGTTTCTCTCTCCTCTAATATGCGCTCTCTCCACCACCCCGGCTCTCAGTGCTGGCTTTGAGATGATGGCACACTCATTTCTGTTTGCCAGTAGTTGTTGGGGTGATGATGAGGCCAACCACTTAGAATGCGGCCACTGCCCGGCAGAAGGTAGAACGATGACTGTTCCTGTTTCTGGTGTCTTAGTAAAATGCCATGTGTTTCTAGGACAACACCATGCTGAGTAGTTTGCTCCTTAGAGCATTTTCAGTTATTTTTAATTAGGTGTTTTGGCTGTAGGTAGATTCCAGCGGCCGCTCTTCTTCACGAGGTCCAGTACTTCCTGAAGCAGACCAGCAGATGTTACGCGATTTGATGAGTGACGCCATGGAGGAGGTAGACCTGCAGCAGACCGCCGCATCTGCGCAAGCTCAGGCGAACGGTAGGACTGGCTGGCCTTCCTCCCCGGGAGTCCTGGGGCCTCACTTGAGGCTTAAGCTATTTGTATGGTTACAGGTTCTGCAGTAAGTCACCTATTAAAGAAAAAACAAGTCTGCGTTTTGGTGGATACTTATTAGCCAATCGGTTTGAGTTGATCCAGCATCCAGGACACACACACACACTGGCCCAGGGTGCTGTGGGGGCCCAGATTAAATGAAAGTCCAAGCTTATCTTTTCTGTTAGCTTCGAGTTTCCTAACACAGATCGGCACTAAGCCAGACTGATGTTCTTACTTAGAATGATTAGGAAATGACGTAAGAGAGGGCTTCAGCGTGTGTCATGTCCTCATCTACTGGTTGGAAGGGATTGGAATTGTCTCATGAGATTTCAGTGAAAGTGAGAGGAATTGGCTTAATTTTTTAAAGAGTGGCTGGGGTTTAGGTATGTGGAGGGGAGAGAGAAGGTCGTCTTGGCAAGGTCATGAACGTTGACAAAGGCACAGAAGCATGCAGAAGCCTTAATTATCTTGCAGCCCAGGCTCCCTTCTCATTGGAAAGAATTGGCCAGAATATTTTTTTTCTAATTGGATGAATGTAGTCATTTCTGTATGTTCTGAAATCTTAATTTTTTTAAAAAAAAATCTCATGGTATTATAAAAGTTTAGGGTTAAATTGTTGATTTTATTCTAATTTAGCATAAATTAGAACTCAGGAAACAGAACTTACAGCTTCCTATGTATTACATTGTATTAGCAGCTAGCCTACTTATGTGGGAAAGAATGTTTCACGAATATTTACTGAGCAGCTTCAATATTCAGGCGCACCGGGCACTTACAAAGGATGAGTATGTCCAAGGTGCTGCTGCAGAAGAATTTAAAATCGGGCCTGTGAGCCTGTGGAAGCTAAAACATCACTTCATTCATCTTCACCTTCCCAGTCCATGTCACAGTGCTTGAAATGACTAATGGAATGGAGAAAGAATTAGTGGATCTACTATGTATTAAAAATGCATAAAAATGTATGTTCACGTGACAGATTTTGGCATGCATGCAGTCTTTTGTGAACCACGTTGACAGCTGCCTAAGAACAGGTGGCCCATTTGGGTATCCAGTGCCCCAGAGAGTAGCCTCCTTACTGTAGGGCACCACTCCCTGGCCAAAGACCCTCTTAGCCACTGTTTCCCCCACCCGTCTCTCTCTAAGCAGAGATTTCCTATAGTTTTAGGGGAGACACTGCCAGATGTAACCGGTGGTTCCTCCCCTTGCAGCATTGTTCCGGAAGTTTACAGATCTCCACTCACAGGACAGAGTTGTCAGTGTGCAGTTCTGGCTTGAACAAAACTCCAGTCCACACTGACAAGCTGCTGCCCGTTTCGGAGCTTCTCTAACGCGAGATAACTAAGAGGAGCCTCACTGTGACTTTATGAGACCGTCATTTACTGTTCTCGTAGAGAACGTCAAACTTACTGTCAGTCTTTCTCTTAGTAATGGGAAGGTTATTGTAAGAAATAAATGAGGTATTGCAGGTGAAAACATCTCAACGTAATGTGTATCTGACATGTGGTTAAAATGTGTACTGAGCATTACTGTTCAAAATGTGCCAAAACTGAGTGTTGTATTCTTTTTTACCTAGGTGTTTTGGATGAAAAATCTCAAACTCAGGAGCCATGTTGTTCAGACCTCTTCCTGTTTCCAGATGAGAGTGGAAATGTGTCCCAGGAGCCTGGCCCTCCTTACGCCTCATTCACACACCACTTGGTTAGTGATGCCATGGCACGTGTGCCCACGGAGAATGACGACTTTTGCATTATTTTTGCACCAAGAGCAAACGTTCAGGTAATAAATGGATACTATAATTGAGGCCTTAAGGTAGTGTTACAAGTTGATTTGACCAAAGGGTACTTGAGAAAGAGTCTTCAGATTTTTTTATAACTCTTGGCAGTTCACAACGACTTCATTCTGTAATTATTGAGGCTTTGCAAATGTTTGTTATACTATTTCTGTGACATATCGCTCTAAAACTCAGAGAAGAATGCTCAATATTTGCAAAATTAAAAACGAAATTTTTTTTTAGATTTTATTTAAAGTCAAGTTAGTTAACATATAGTGTATTATTAGTTTCAGGGCAAAATTTTCTACGTAGATTATCAAACTACAGATGTTGTGCATAGTTAAGATAGCTCCTCAGGGCAAGGAAGTGGCAAAAGGAGTGCTATCCAGAGTTGCTAGTCCAGGAACTGGGAAAGGTAAGACGTGGTTTGTGTGAAGGCTGATGGGTGTTTGATAAGTGTAATTGGCCATGTGAGAGTCCTGCTTCCATTTAAAAAGTGTGGTCTGGATGTAATGAGCGCACAGCTCACTAGATCAGTTAAGTGCTGGAGTTGAACTTATGAAATCGCCATTTAGCACATATACATACTAAATTGCTCAGTAGTGACTTGGTGAATGTATTTGTTTTACTGCATCCTGGGAAATTAAAAAAAAAAAGCAGTCAAACTCAGGATGATTTCATTATTAGGATCATGGTAATTTGATCCATATGTTAAAGTATGGCAAGTTTGGAATGTAGTCTTGACTTTGAATTAAAGAACTATAAACACACACACCAGACACACACTCACATCAACACACACGTACTAAATCTGTGCCTTTTTATTATCAAATGGTAAAAGCTAGATTGAAGACTATGAAAGACTCCTTGTGGAGTGATTTACCTAGAAAGTCCATTTGATGCTGAATAATGCAGAGTATCCTGTGAGATGATTAATATCACCACTTGCCCATTTCATATATTGATACTGTTGTTAGAAAGAATTCAGAATCAAGAAATCTTGAGATCCGCAGCATAATAAGTGGTTTCTACTGAGACCAGACCGTGTGTGTTCCTTGTTTATTTTAGGAGAAGGAGGAAGAGCCAGTTGTAAAAGTGATGGTCGATGATGCAATTGTAATAAGAGAGAATTACTTTAGTCAGCCCGCTAAGAAGACAGACACGAGCAAAGCCCCATTGCACTTTCCCATCCCTGTCGTCCGCTATGTTGTTAAAGAAGTCTCTCTTGTTTGGCATCTTTATGGAGGAAAGGATTTTGGAACAGTCCCTCCTACTTCTCCAGCTAAAAGTTACATGTAAGTTGATTTCTACATAGGTTTTTGTTGGTTTTTTGTTTTGTTTTGTTTTGCTTTTTTGTTTGTTTGTTTGTTTGTTTACAGACCATTATAGACTTTTCCTAGAAAAAGAATTTGTCATTTTTAAAAAAAGATTTTATTTATTTGAGAGAGAGAGTGAGCACGTGTGAGAGAGCGCACGGTTGGAGTGAGGGGCAGGATGAGAAGCAGAGTCCCCCGCTGGGCAGGGAGGTGGATGATGTGAGGCTTGATCCTGGGACTCTGGGATCGTGACCTGAGCTGAGGACAGACGCTTAACTGACTGAGCCATCCAGGCCCCCTAGGATTTGTCATTTTAAGAATTATTAATAAAGTAGTATTGAAAACTATGTTATTTAAATGTTACTCTTTTAATATTAAAACTTTTCATTTGTAAACTTAGTTGCATTGTTTGTATATTTACTAAAATATGGTGACTTAAATGATTACCATTCAGCAAAATTTTGGGGGTACCTACCATGTGTTGGAGCCTGTATTAGAGGCACATTCACTAAAATGAATAAGACCCAGGGCGCTTGGGTGGCTCAGTGGGTTAATTGTCTGTCTTCAGCTCAGGTTGTGGTCCCAGGGTCCTGGTCTCAAGTCCCACATCAGGCTCCTTGCTCAGTGGGGAGCTTGTTTTTGCCTCTCCTCTGACCCTCCTTCTCTCCACTCATGCTGTCTCTCATGCTCACTCTCTCTTGCTCTCAAATAAATAAAATCTTAAAAATAAACCCAGACCCTGCCCTGCATTCAGAAGGGCCATTATGGAAGCAGATGAGGGCAGTGAAGTGAAACCTGTGCCTCAGGAGGCAGGGACCAGGTGTGGCCCTGAATGCCTGGCATCCAGCAGTGCCAGGCAAGTACTTGGTGCTCCTGAAGTACTTGTTAAATGAGTGTGTTGTTAGGTGGAGCTAGAAGAGGACCAGCCAGCCTCGGCGCAGTGGGAGTGAACATTCTCGTTAGGGTGGGAGGATCAGAAAAGGTTTCAGGGAATGGGAATCGTTGGCACAACAGTGCAGAGACTTTCTAATTAAAAGTGATCTTTTAGGAATGCCTGGGTGGCTCAGTCAGTTAAGCATCTGCCTTTGGCTCAGGTCATGATCCCAGGGCCCTGGGGTCAAGTCCTGCATCAGACTCCCTGCTAAGTGGGGAGTCTGCTGCTCCTTCTGCTTCTGCTGCTCCCCCTGCTTCTGCTCTTTCACTCATGCTCTGTCAAATAAATAAAATCTCAAGAAAAAAAACGTGATTTTATTTATTTATTTATTTTTGGTATTGATTGGGATTTAAGGACTTGTACTCTGTAGGGAGTTTCTGAAGTAATAAGGAACTTCTCAGGAGGTCTCATTTTTCTGTGTCCTGTTACATGAACACCAACACCATAGTAAGGTTTTTCTGTAGTTCTGAATATTTAGCGGCAGATGATTGCCACAATGTTAGTAATAAAATTCACGTTCTCCAGGTTTCTAAAGCATTAAGATTTGATACAGAGAAATGCCATTTGTGACCATGTCTTGATAGTTCTGTAATCCTATTTTCTCTTTTTATCTTGCTATTTTTCCTGAGGTTACTCATTGCCTTTCTTTGAATATTTCCTTTAACAAAAGGCTTTTTTTTTTTTTTTTTTTTAATTTTTCCATTTATAGCAGTCCCCACAGTTCACCTTCTCACACTCCCACAAGGCATGGACGTAACATGGTATGTGGGGGAAAAGGAAGAAACCATGACTTTTTAATGGAAATACAGTTAAGTAAGGTAAGATGGCATTTTGAAAGGAAAAAGCCACTGAAGTAGGAACGTTAATGGGGGTTCCTTGGTTACTCCCCAACCTGGTCTTGAGCCATAAGTCCCAGCCTTTTGGATTAGAAAAATGCAGGGGTCTTGTAAAACTTTTGCTTTTTCTTTCTCAAATGTTCCAAGAAGTTTGAGGGGTTTTGTTTTGTTTTTGTTTTCCCAGGCTGTCCCTAGAGGAGTGTGTCTCAGAGTTGAGCAAGCATCAGAATCCCCTCGAGGGCTTGTTAAAACACAAGTTGCTGGGCCCCAGAGTTTCTGAATCAGTATGAGGTGGGGCCCATGAATTTGCATTTTTAATGAGTTCCCCGGTGATTCTGATAATACCTTTCCCAGGACCACACTTGGGGAACAGCTCCCCTGGAGTAGCTATCTGGGAGGGCTGCCGTTGGATAGGACCTGTGTCAGGTCCGTCATGAATGTCTAGAGACCAGTATGTCCAGGTCGCCAATGGCATCCTGTGCATTCAATTCTTTCAGCTTGTCTGGGATTGTGCCAGGTGTCATATATTAGGGTACTTAATGGGGAAATACCGTAGTAATGATTTCATTGTATCCTTTCCCCACTTTGGAACTTGATCCTTATCTCCACTGGTTGTTTTTCAAGCAATTTCATAGGTATGCAAGATGATAATTTTATGTATTACTCTGTATTCTTATAGAGAGTTTTGCTTGAAAAGGATAGGGATTTTGCCAAGATCAAATAAGAGATGTCAGCCGAGCTTATCCTTGTGTGGTGGGACACACGTAGATGAATAGTGAACAAATGAAGGAGGGTTCTGTTCTCTGAAAGTGGAATCAGAACCCGAGAATTCCAAGAAAGTGATGGGTGATACTTTGCATTTTAAAGGAGAAATCTAATTTAAATAAAGGGTAAAAATGGTTGTGTTCCTTCTTTTCTGTGAAGGTGAAGTTTCAGCACGAGGTCTACCCGCCTTGCAAGCCAGAGTGTGACTCCGGCCTCCTAGAGCGCCCGGTCTCCCGCCAGGCGTTCATCGTGCAGGATCTGGAAATTCGAGACCGTCTGGCAACGTCACAAATGAATAAGTTCTTGTACCTGTATTGCAGTAAAGAAATGCCTCGAAAAGCTCATTCCAACATGGTGAGATTTAAGACCTCATATTTTCTATTGTATATTCGTTTTGGAAAAGTGTGTTTATTGTATCTAACTGCAGAAGATTGAAATGGGGGGAAATTAAAGGTTTTTTTTCATATTAATATGAAAATACCTTTTAAATATGCTGCTTAAAGATTTATTATTTTTAAAGATTTTATTTATTTCAGACAGAGTGAGCGGGCATGAGCTGGAGGGAGGGGCAGAGGGAGAAGCAGACTCCCCTCTGAGCAGGGAGCCGGATGTGGGATTTGATCCCAGGACTCTGGGATCATGACCTGAACTGAAGGCAGATGGTTAAGTGACTGAGCCACCCAGGTGCCCCTTAAAGTTTTATTATTTAAAAATTACTTTACATGTTGCTTTTAGGGTCTATTTTATAATTGTCAGTGTATTGATACCCAAGGCAAACTGGAAGTCCATGGTGATCTACACAGAATATTTAGTATTGCTGGAAGTGTTCCAGATGTCTGACAGTTTGTGAGTTGTAGTGGAGTAGGAATGGTTCACTCAGGATTGCTAGAAGAAAATGTCCTAGAAGCTGTCTTTGGAGTGTGGCCCTGTGAATTTGCTCCAGGGCCCAGCGGACCCTGAAGTGCGTGTACCACACTGTCATTTGTGTCTTTCCCACTAAAGAGAACCCGTATCCTGAGCTTCGGGGAGCGCGTGACTCAGGAGGGTGTGATTCAGGCCTTTAAACAAAAAGGGGAAAAAATTCCACTTTCAGTTCTCCTGTAACAAATGGGACTTTTTTTTCCTTTTGTTTCTTCTTTCTTCTTCTTCTTTTTTTTTTTTTTTTTAAAGAAAACAAGGTTGTAATATAGTTGGAGAAAAATGTCGTTCTTCTCTCGTAGTTGACGGTGAAAGCATTGCATGTGCGCCCGGAGTCCGGCAGGTCACCGCAGGAGTGCTGCTTGCGAGTGTCCCTGATGCCACTTCGCCTCAATATTGACCAGGTTTGTGCTGCAAGCGTCGTGTGTGCAATTCTGCTTCTGTGTCCCAGGTTCAGAAGGAGAGATTTAATTTAGGTGGATTAAAATGTTTATTGTTATTTAACTGTTACGAAAATCGCGTAATTGAAGAATTCTGCTGGTAAAGAACAGGGCAGATTCATCAGGCGTTTGGAATCTGAACTGTTGGTGAGTAAACATTATTAGATGTTTTGCTCCAGTCTCCTCATTGTCTGCATGACCCAGCACTCGGTCCCTGCTTCCCATTCTCCCGTGCTCACGGACGCACACTGGGGCAGGTACACAGGTGTTCTCAAAGCGTAGGAAATGACTCCCTGATACCTGTGATTGAAAGATCCGAGGGCTTGTCTCTTCACCACAGCACCTGGAAGAGAATTCCTTCTGCCCTGGGGAAGATGACAAATTATTTTGTCACGGTCACATTGTCATTGTGACCGTGAACAGGTCACAAACAACAGATTTGTGGAAAGACCCAAAGAAGTCCACTTTGCAAGCAAGCATTTCCATCAAATTGTCCTGGGTTTTGCCTTAACTCCACTGTTTAAAAGCTAGTCGGTGCCACTTGGGCAAACTAGGTTCAGGGGGTGTGAGCACTTGACGCTCTTCAGTCCGATGGGGTCAGATTGGGGTTAACGCCTCAGTTCTCTTTCCCTGGTTGGTGGCTTTGGGCAAGTCACTTCTCCAAGCCTCACTTCCTTCACTGATAAAATCAAAGTAGCAGAGGTAGGTACAGAATCATTTTTTAAAAAATAAGGATCAGAAGAGACTAGCGTGAGTTAAATATTTAGCTTGGTGTTAAGGATCAGAAGTATTAACTGTTGTTCTTATTAACTGAAGCACGCCACACCTGGAACAGATAAATGGAGTTCGCAAAGTAGTCTGCTTTTGAGACAGCAGAACTGTCCTACTCTGCCTCACATTGGTGTGAGAAGGAGAGTCTGTCGAATAGCACTGTTGGTTTGCTTACGTGGTACGGATTGAGTAATGTTGACTTGTTATTGAAATAAGTAACATATTTCAGGAAGAAGGTATTAAAATGATCATCTTGTGAAAATATGGGCAGTTTCTCAGAAAAACTGTCTTGTGAGGCGCAGAAGTCCAGCCCAGTTTCACATTAGTATCTATAGCTTCTGAGCTGGGACAGACTTGCCAGTGGTTCTTTAGATTTATTTTCTCTCCTTATGAGAAGACTTTCTTTGGCTACCCATATTTTGATTTATCCATACATGGGCCTGTGATTGAATAGTTTTACAGTCAAGCATTTATGGGAAATTTGATCTCTGGAAATTAGTGTGAGCAAGAATTTGAGTGGGATACTTCTTTATGGCATGACTTTGCCAGACATAGCAAACCCAGGTTTTTTTCCTTCTTTTTTCTCTTTTTTTAAGATTTTATTTATTTGAGAGAGAGAGATCATGAGCAGTGGGGAAGGTAGAGGGAGAAGCAGACTCCCCGCTGAACAGGGAGTCTGATGCAGGACTGAGCCAAAGGCAGATGCTTAACCCACTGAGCAACCCAAGCGCCCTACCCAGTTTTCTTTAATAGGCTTTTTAAAAAAAATACTGAGCTTAATTTCTTCTTAGAACTATAAAGCATTGTGATTTTTGAAATGGGGAGATACTCATCTTTGAGAAAACAGGGAACTCACTCTTTTGGCTGACCTGAAGAGGAGTGGGAAATCATTCCCAAAGATGAACCCAAGGGGAGCACAGCCATGCTCACAGGCGTGTGCCAATGGGTTCATTGAGCAGACGTCCTTTCGGACTGGCACCTTCTAAGATCGACGAGCTTTGGTTTGAGAGAGCAAATGGTCATCTGAAGAGAAAACTGGATACTTCTGTTCTCCATTTTTTCTTTTGAAAACAAATCAGTTGAAGAACAATGATGCTTTGCATAATGTTTTCCTCACCAAGCATGTCCCTGACTTTATTTCTTTTAACTAGATCACAGATAGTAAGTATGAAAGCAACATGCTATTTTCTCATGTTTTCAAAAAAGCTGCATTGCTGTTTAAGTTCAGGGCCATTGTTTCCAAAGTTCAGCATGCCCATAGGACACTAGGCAGAAGGAACAGTTTTCATCTGGGAAAGGGTAAGTAAATGAGGCAGTCATGTAACTAGGCAGTTTGAGTTGTGAACCATGAAGAGGCCAGATTTCCTGACTCCCCAGTCTGGTGTCCATTTCAGTGTAGCACTGCGTACAAATCTGTGCGGGGAAGATATGCTTGTTAGTCCCAAATGATCTGCCGAATGCCAGCCTTGTCCCAGGTCCTGTACCAGGATGCTGGGAATACAAAGATAAGTGACCATCCTCATCTTCAAAGATCTCTGTATGGGGGTGGAGACTGACATAAAACAGAGGACTTTAACACCCTGTGGTGAGTCCTAGTGGTAATGATATGCATAGCAGGATGTGCCACAGCAGAAGGGGTTCTGAAGCCAGGCAGGTAGTTCAGAGGAGTGAGGGGTAATCAGGAAAGGCTTTCTGGAGGAGGAGACACTTGCCATGGGTCTTAAGGGAAGTGGTGGAGTTAGTGCATTGAGATTTGTGTAAAGGCCTTGAGGGCCCGTTTCAGGTTGTGGGAGGAGATGTGAGGCCATTCTGCTGAGGGAAGCATGTGCTTGGCTGAGGTGTGAGACAGTGACTCTGTAGTAGTACTGGTTGGCACATTCGTGACTTTTTAGCATCATTGCTTGATTGAGTACGACATTATAATTAATTATTTTAACACTTCTGTCCTGCGATAGAGGATACTGTTAGTATCTTCTTAAAGCTAGAAATAACTATAGCCTAAGTTTGTTAAGAAAAAAACAAAAACCAAAACCACATTTCTTTAAAGTTTTAAGAAGTTGATTCTATGGAGATACAGTTTGCATACAATAAAGTGCCGGATTTTAGGTGTACAGTGTACAGCGTGACAGGTACACTGGAGTAACTACTCCGCCAGTTGAAATAGCGTTTTCTGTGTCTTTCAGAGTCCCCCGTGCCCCTTTGTGGTCGGTCTCCAGCACCTCCAAGTAACCACTGGTCTCCTTTCCATCACCATAGGTTAGCTCGTTCCGTCCCACAGCTTAGTGTAAACGGAAGTGTGTTCGGCTTCCTGAGCCGGGAGCTTCATCTGTGCGGAGGTGTGGCTGTTCACCTCTGTTCGGTCCGTTCCTTTTTATTGCTGAGGACGGATGTCCTGGTGTGGCCGTACCACAGTTCGTGTATCCATTTATGTGATTTACATTTGGTTGTTTTCTTGGTTTGGGCTCTCAGGAATAAAGCTGTTACGAGGTTGTGTACAAGTCGTCTTTGTCTTGGTTATCATAAACAGTGTCCAGGCCATGAGGCAGATGTGTATTTGACCATCGTAAGAAGCTGCTGGTTTTCCTTTATAAGGTGGTTAGACCCTTGGACATCCCTTCCCCCAGGAACTTAAAGGGAGCTGCTGCTGGTTCACACTCTGACCAAACCTGATACTATCTTTTTAATTTTAACGGTCTTATTTGGTGTTCGTTATGGTTTTCGTTTGGATTCCCTGATGGCTAACGATGCTGAGCGCCTTCTCACACGCTTACTTGGCGTCTCTGTACCCTTTTGTGAAGTGTTTGTGTCTTGCTAGTTTTAAAATCAGGTGGTTTTATTGAGTTGTAAAGAGTTTAGCATAAATACCAAAATCAAAACTTCTGAGAGCGTATTGAAATGCTGACAATTAATATCCCCTCTTCTGTTTTGTGCATTTGTAGTGAAAATGGATAAAAGCCACTGTCTCTATGGTCTTCTCTCTCTCTCTCTTTTTTTTTTTTTTTTTAAGATTTTATTTATTTATTTTATTTATTTATTTGGCAGAGAGAGAGATCTCAAGTAGGCAGAGCAGGCCGGGGGAGGGGGGCAGGGGGGAGCAGACTTCCCACCAGAGCAGAGAGCCTGATGTGAGGGCTCGATCCCAGGACCCTGAGATCATGACCCGAGCTGAAGGCAGAGGCTTAACTCGATGAGCCACTCAGGTGCCCTCTCTCTCTCTCTCTCTCTCTCTCTCTCTTTTTTTAAGAGCATATTTATTCCTGGAAATTTTCTCTCGTGTTTTTTGAAGGCAGTCGTAGAGTCAAAAGTATTTATTGTGTTAAAATATCACCATCTAGTGGTCAAAGAATAATATTTTAGGTACTATTACATTTGAAACATCTAATATTTGATATACATATGTTAAATGTATATATGCACACATACCTGGGTGATATATAATGTATGTAATGTAACAAAATATACATATATAAGTGTGAAGCATAATGTAATGAGCAATTCATAAACCCACTGCATTACTGTAGAACCAAAATAGTTTCAGTACTATTAAAACCATGTCCTTGTTCTTCAGTCCCATCCCTCAGTCTCCCATATGCCACATTTCCTAGAAAAAAATACCTTTCTGACTTTCATCATTTATACTTCTGGTAAATGTTAGTAGTAGTTGATTAGATCCTTTGGAATTACCGGACTTAGGGTGTGCTACCAAATATGACCCTTTACTTCCCCACCACATTGCATTTTGGTACAGTAGTAATGCTTTACATTAATTGAGAATTTTTTTAAATGGAAGGAAGAATAGGCATTTAATCTCCAGATGGTGAGAGTGAGGTGGGTAAAACGAAGCTACTAATACCCGGCGAATGTGGCTCACTCGGACAGCATTAAGACAGGTCCGTGCATTTTCGTTACGGTATCATTTCAGAAGAGACCACACTGGGTGATTTTATGGATTTTAATTTTGAGTATCTTGTCTGTTGGAGAAAATGTGTTAAGGCAATAGAATGTAGTGGTAAAGGCAGAAATACGGCAGTAAGAACTTGCGAGGTACGTGCCTGTGTCCAGGCTGGCCGGCTGCTGTTCTTCACGGCGGTAACACACCCGCTGCCGCCGGTTCACACGGAGCGCTGGTGTCCAAGAACAAGGACGCCGTATTTCTGAGAAAACCAGAATGTACTTGATTTAGAAATAGCTATGTGATCTTTAACTTCTGTGTCTTAATTTTCACATCTCTAATTTTCTCAGAGTTGTGAGAATTAACAAGGAATGTGTGTGTGTGTGTGCGTGTGTGTGTGAGAGAGAGAGATAGAGAGAGAGAGAGAGATGGGGAATAGGAACAGTGCCTCACGCAGACTAAGAATTCAAAAAAATTATAGTGGTATTCTTATACCACTATATGTAAAATACGGGACTTTGAGATACTTCATAGTTTCAGAAGTAGATGTCCCCCTCCCAGGCCCCCCGCCCCTGTGCCTGCCCTTTGGTTATAATTACATCTTTTCATTTTAGGATGCCTTGTTCTTCCTGAAGGATTTCTTCACAAGTCTTTCTACAGAAGTAGAGCTTCTAATGGCTCCAGATCCAGAAGGTATTAAATATGTATATTTGGGAAAAGTCTATAACAAGTACTTGGGTTGATTTTTGATTGTTATGAGGCCTTTTTGAGAGTGTACTTACAGTCTTTATTCTCATTTATATAAATGTGCTTTTGTACTTTGCAGATGCTGTTTATGTGAGAGTAATAATTTAAAAGGTAGAAGTCAATTTTCTCTAGCAATAATTGTGTTTATTAAATGCAGCAAAACAAGTTAAATTCATAGGAATTTTAAATGGTTTCTCTAAAGAAGCATTCCTAATTTTTCCAATGCGCGCGTTACCTTTTCAGTTAAAAAGTCTCCTGGAGCTGATGTCACGTGCAGTTTGCCAAGGCACCTAAGCACCTCCAAGGAGCCAAATCTAGTTCTTTCTTTCCCTGGGCCAAAGCAGCCTTCCCAAGATGATGGTGCCAACTCAGTGGGAGTGGTTGATGGGGAGGAAGAGAAGGACTTCTCAGCTGAAGAGGCATCATTTAGTGATCAGCCCGTGTTTTTTAGGTAAATCACTTAATTTTGATGACACGTGAAATTTAGTGTTTTGCAGGTTCTTTAATGTGTTTATCCGCCACTAATTATGAGGTTACGCCAGCTTTTCTTTGCACTGCTGACCAGTAACTGGTGTCTTTATTTATGCGTGGGCTCCACGTGTCCTGCACCCTTGATTACACATGGTAACCCTGGTTCAGGAGTCGTGTCTCTTGATTCTGGAGCAGGAAGGTCCTTTTCCTCTTAGCTTCTTCCTTCTGTCCCTCTTCCCGGTCACTCTTACTGGCTTATGTGTACCTCCTCAAACATGATGCCCTTTCCTCTTTGCCCTCACGTACCTTGGCTTCCCTTCGGTTTCCCTGTGCTTCCCTTCTCCCACGTGGAGAAGGGCATTTTCTGTCTGGTTTTGCCTCTGCCCTTCCCAGTGACTGTTCTGTCTTTCCTGGCCCTTTGCTTGCTCCCTGGCTCATTTGGCACTGTCGGGAAAGGCCCGCATGCTCCTGCTGTCCTGCCCCACCACTCCGCTAGCGCTTGCACACTGGAGTTTATCCCCCGTTTCCAGACCTGTTCATCCTTCCCTTCTTCCTTCTGTCCCCGCCCTTCATGGTGGGCCTGGAGCCTTGGCTGTTTTGGAAGGAGAAAGAAGAAAGATTGAAGCCACCTGTGTTGTGAGGAACCGTTAGTTACTTCCCCTCATTTTCTGTGCTCATCCCCAGATTCTGTCTTTTCAAGCTGACTGTAGGTTAGACTTTGGGTATGGCCCTACGTGGGCAGTGTAACTATTTAAAGTGCTTTCATATTTTATATATCTTGTATACTGTAGAAAATAGAGGGAAAAAATAACATTATGAGAACTGGAAGGGTCCTGTAAATGATCTCTGGCAGTTTTAAACATTTCACCAGGAAAGAAGAGTCTCTTTAATTACTTTCCCACATTGATCTTTAAATTTTTTTTAACTACAAAAAATTGTGTATCATAAGTAATAATTCAAATTCTCATTTTATATTAATCACACATGAACTCCTGGTTTGGTTTTTGTGAACACTGGATAACCAGTCCAAAAGAAATTGAATTGTTAACAGTTCTGGCCTGCAGGCAGGGAAATTTGACACTTTTTATTCAGCGTGCATAGCCTCACTCAGGTAAATGTTTTGTTTTGTTTTGTTTCTTTTTTAATTAGACTGTTTAAAATAGCTATGGATTTGTGTTTCTACTCTCACAAGCTCCTAGAAGGCTTAGGGGTGGTAGTCAGTGATACGGTCCAGGTTACTCACTTCACGGGCGAGGAGCTTTAGTGTCTGGAGAAGTACGTTGCTTTGTTCAAGACCACACAGATAGTGGCTGAGTCAAGGCCAGAACACAGGTCTTAATCCCAAATCTAGTGTATTTTCTAAGTGATGGCCTGATTTCTGCTAACCATCCCACAATATTTATTGAGCTCTGTGTATGCCACAGTGAGCAAGGTCGAGAAAAATTCCCTGTATAATTGAGCCTACAAATAATGAACATACATGATTTGTCATATTATATGCCATGAAGAAAACAAAGAGGAAGAGAACCAAAATGCCCAGAGAACCAAGTGGAGATACGTATTTGGATGATGAGGGATGACCTGGGGTCCCAGGTTCTTGTAATGATTGATGTTTAAGTATAGCTTTTCCATTTTACTGTGCGTTAAATTGGACTTTTGTGGAATGGCTTAGGATATAAATGCAGATACTAATTCGGTAGAAAAATTATGTTTTAAGTCCAATTTACAGTCCAGCTTTGGGAAGTTCCTTTTGTTTGATGTATACTATCGGTGTCTAACTATGATTTCATTCTTAAAGAATTCCGAATGGTTGTGTGTCAATATCCTGTTTATAAGCATTAATTTCAAGGATGCTCACTAAAATTCACCAACAGGGGTGGCATTTTAAAAGTTGACTAAGACGTTTCGGCTCAGAGTTAAGTTCCTTGCCCATGATTACACGTATAGCTGGTAAAAGTGGGATTTGTGGCTGGCTTTTCTGGTGCTCTCTACGTCATGACACAGTTGAGATAAATCCCTTACCTCTTCTCTTTTTTACTTCTTGGTAATGAGTATATTATTTGGTTTGATCTTGAAGGTTGCCTTTATTATTCTTTATAAATTGAGAATATCTGCCAGAATAAATTTTTCTAAGGTAAACATATAGTAAACTAGGGGAAGTTTTTTTGTGAGAAAATTTAAATAAAATATATACAGTGTATAAGATGATTAACTTTCGTTTAGTTGTTATATTACCTTAAGAAAAGGTAGAGCCAAAAGACATTGCCCTTTATTTAGGCCTCGAGATAGTCACCTTATTTATTTTGTGGTTTCGTTTTTATTACCTAGTTGAACTGTTTAATTTATATCTAATTTCAACCACAGGTACTTCTGAATATAACTAACTCCCCTCTTTCTTTATCTTCAGAGAATTTAGATTCACATCAGAAGTTCCTATTCGACTTGATTATCATGGCAAACACGTATCAATGGATCAGGTTTGGAAACTTTGTATAAATATACTCTACAAAGTTATCTTCTTTGTTTTTCTAATGGAGTTAATTTTCAAACTTTTTCTGTCATGGTTTATATGTTTGAAGTGATGTGCAAGATTTTAAAATTTAATTCTGTTTTTAAAGTAAACATTATTTACTTAACCCATGAGTAAAATTTAGTATAAATTGGGTAATATATATTATTAAGTATATATATTTTTTTGCTGTAAATATTTCAAGTGTTTTAGCTGCATTAATGAATGAATATTACCTTGACTTGTCCAAATGACCACTATTTTACATGTTCGGTTGCTCAGTTACACATTAATCTGGCTTTTTTGAATTTTAAAGGGTACCCTGGCCGGAATTCTGATTGGTCTGGCCCAGTTAAACTGCTCAGAGCTGAAGCTGAAGCGGCTTTTCTACCGGCATGGGTAGGTCGGTTTTTATCTTATGAGGCTTTATGGTATAGTGACTGCAGTTAGTTTACAAACAAACCGGGCATTGACTTTTCTTAGCAAACAGAAATCATTATTTTACAGTATTCTGTGCAGAGAGCTCATTTGTAGAGGAGGCTTACTGATTAGGGTCTACTTTTTATGCTGAGAGAGTAGTAGTTTGACTAAAGTAGTATTTTTCAGAAATAGGTGTAGTTATTTTTTAATAATTTCCCAAGGTCATAAATTCATTTATTTAGCAGGAGGACTGGCATTTCACAACATAATGGTTCGTAGTAACTGAGACCCACGTGGCAATTATAGACAGTGAGTTAATCCTGTGCTAGAGCTTTAAAGATTTTATTTCTTTATTTGAGAGTGAACGTGTGTGCACATGTGGGGGGCAGGGAGAGAATCTCAAGGACAGTCTGTACTGAGTATGGAGCCTGATGTGGGACTCGATCTTATGAACCTGGGATCATGACCTGAGCTGAAACCAAGTCTGATACCCAACCATCTGAGCCACCCAGGCACTCCTGTACTAGAGCTTTAGATGTTCAAGAAATAGGAGCAGTGGAAGAACACATTCATATATGTTACTGAAGCTTTATAGAAATTACTAACATTAAGCTGGATTATATATATGTACATATGTTTATGTATATTCAGATTAAACATCTGTAATATTTTGTCCTCGTAATTGGTACATTTTCTTTTAAGTTAAAAAAAAAATCCCCCCAACTTATTATGTAAACAAACTAAGTCAGAGAAAGACAAATACCATATGATTTCACTCATACGATGAACAGATGAACATAGGGGAAGGGAAGGAAAAATAAAATAACACGGAGGAAGGCAAACCGTAAGAGACTCTACACTGTAGGGAACAAACTGAGGGTTACTATAGGGCATTGGGGTGGGGGGTGGGGTAGCTGGGTGATGGGTGTTAAGGAGGGCACGTGATACAGCAAGCACTGGGTGTTCTGTGCAACTGATGAATCACTAAATTCTACCCCTGAAACTAAAAATAAAAAAAAACTCCCCAGCTTATCTGAACCTACAAATCTCTTTCCTTTCTCTGTATACTAATAGTCATTTGCTCTAGCTTGCTAGGTGTTGACAAATTGTTTTCGTATGCAATCACCGAATGGCTTACTGACATTAAGAAGAACCAGCTACCTGGAATCCTGGGAGGTGTTGGGCCTATGCATTCACTAGTACAATTAGGTGAGTTTTCTTTTTTAATCAAAAGATGATTTATTTTGCTTGATCTGTGATTCTTAACCCCTTTGGAATTATGGGTGTCTTTGGGACAGTCTGTGTGAGGACCATCTTTCTGGAAAACTTCTGTGTGTGGTCTTAGACACCTGTAAGAGCACTTTGCGTCCCATTGAGGTTAAAACTCCCAGGTGTAGAATGACAGCAGAGATCGGAGCTCCCGCAGTCCCGCTGATTCTCTCTGTTGACTGCTGTTCTAGTGCAAGGCCTAAAGGACTTGGTTTGGTTGCCGATAGAGCAGTACCGGAAGGATGGCCGCATCGTCAGAGGCTTCCAGAGAGGGGCTGCCTCCTTTGGCACCTCAACAGCGATGGCTGCTCTAGAACTCACAAACAGGATGGTTCAGACTATACAGGTATCTCGCCACCGACCACCTCACTCTATACAGAGAGGAAGCGCTATTGTAAAACGGCTGGGGTTTTTGTGTTTTTAAAACGATACTGTGAAAAACACCAAATGCTGAGAACAGATACCCTAATCATGATGATTTAATATCATCGGGTTTTGTGGGGGTTTTTTTGCTTGTTTTTTTGTGTTTTTTTTTTTTTTTTTGCTCAGCTTTCCGGTGTTAAGTAATTGGTAGAATAAAGCAGTGGAATGCAATGTCAAATTTGCTTGCCCGTTTCAGTTAAACTGTAACCGTTAAATCAGTTGGGGATTTATTTTGCCTCATCAGTCAGACTAGATCCTAGCTAGACGTGAAGTAGGCATTGCAGATCGGATAGGAGATGCAGTAAGTGTTGTCCTGCTAAGTACTGAACTCCGGTTGACCTCATGCAGGTGTCCCAGAAAGGGCATTGTCGATTAACCTGGTAACACAGAGAGGGTTCTCAGAGGGACAGAGGAGGGAATGAGAAAGTCACTCAGTCCAGATACTAGTTCTTAGTGTGCCCTTTAATGTTCTTGTTACGGAAGTGCTCAGTTTTTGTCGGGGAGAACTCTGGGCCCTGCAGACACGCCTGCGGCAGGGCCTGCGAGTCCCCCTGCTCTTCCTGGCTCCGGTGGCAGTTGCGTTGTTGGAGCACAGCTCTGCAGACTGTCTTCTGATGCGTTTCTTACTTCCTGGTGAAACGATCCAGGCCGCAGCAGAGACTGCTTATGACATGGTGTCTCCTGGGACCCTTTCTATTGAGCCCAAGAAGATGAAAAGGTTCCCTCATCACCGCTTAGCGCACCAGCCCGTGGACCTGCGGGAGGGCGTGGCGAAGGCCTACAGTGTTGTCAAGGAGGTGAGTGCTTTCCCGGGCGGGCAGGCCGCAGCCGCCTTCCTGCGGTTGGTTGGAAGAGTATTCTGTGGTTGCACACCCTGGGAGTGGGCTTGGAATCGCTGCCCATAGCAAGTGGCAGTGCCTGCAGGAGGTCCTGACGGGCTCCCCAGGAGAGTTGTGATCTGGAGGAAAGGCTGGTTCTTGGCGTGCGGAGCCAGCCGGGTAATGGCCACGCACACATGCTCGTGCCGGCCCGACGTGCTCGGTAGTTCTGCGCTGCAGTACTCAGCTTTGCTTAAAAGTACAGCTTTGCGGGCGAACTGCTCACCCTGATCCCATTCCCATGCCTTCACTCTCCTGAAGGTGGTACACATTTTTGGGTACATGTTTTTATAGCTTTACTGTGTATTTACTCATAAGCAGCACATACCATTATTTCTATTTTAAGAGCTAACATACTTGGTGTCGTAGTGTACGTATCCCTGTAAAGTCTGCCTTGCAAGATCTGCCCGTGGCGATACACGTCCCCCTCATTGGGACGGTCGCATGGCCTTTCGTCGTAGAGTATACCGTACTTCATTTTCTCTTGGTAGACCTTGTTTTCCTTAAAGCACTGCTGCAGCAATGTTCATATAAATGTCCCTTTGTTCATCTGTGCCAGAGGTTAAGAATGAAGTTGGTGATTTGTAACTATCTGAACCTCAACATTTATTAAGCCTAGTTGCAGTTTAGTTGCACCAGTGAATCCTGGTTCTTAATGGGCACTGTCGGGGACGTTCCCCATTGTAATCTTTCTTGACATTCTTTTTATGACATGAATTTTGAGATTTTTAAAAAATAGTTTATTTATTTATTTGAGAGCAAGAGGGTGAGAGAGAGCGAGCGAGCACTAGCGCTGGCAGAGGGAGAAACAGAGTCCCCACCGAGCAGAGAGTCCGATGCGGGGCTTGATCCCAGAACCCGGGACCATGACCTGAGCTGAAGGCTCATGCTTAACCAACTGAGCCGCTCAGGTTCCCCGAGGTGGTTTTACTCTTGATGCGTGTATTAGGATTTCATTAAAGATTCCCCCCCCCCCCCCAGTCCCCGTCATATTCTGACAGGCACAAGTGCCTAGGATGGTCTTTTCCCTGACAAAGTGGCCTCCGTGGTTCCGAGTGGTTGGAAGACCACTGAGGTAGGGCCCCCAGGAAGTGTATTAATGGAATAAATAAAAGCAAGACCACTTGCTTTTCTCCAAAGGAGATTTAGTTAGCAGAATAGGGACTGGTCAGATCCGATCCTACAGATGTCAGGATTGGGCCAGTTATTAGTAGACATGTTAGAAGTCTGGTTTATAGAAACGATCCTGGGGTTCAGGGCAAAGTTGGGGCCCTGGGCAGCAGGAAATAATAGCACTTGGATATGGAGCACTTTGCAGTTAGGAGCACTTTGCAGTTAGCATAACGCTTGCCTGATTTAATCTGTGGTTGTTTGAAGAAATATCTGGGTGCTGAGTTTGTGTCAGGTGTATAGCTACCATTCAGGGGAGGCAGTGTTCCTCACTTGCCCGAGAGGACGCTGCTGCAGCAGGAATGGCTCCCCGCGTAGCCGGCGAGTCAGCAGCGGGGCCACTGTGGGACCCGGGGTATCCGGGTCTGCCGAGTGGTTCTGTGTGTCTGACTGTCAGTGTGAAGAGTGGGGGAGGGGAGGGTGAGAGCAGTGAGCACGGATCGAGGTGGTCAGGGTGCTTGATTCCACGGACTTTGGTGTTAAATGCTTTTTGAGCGGAAGCTCCTCTGTGGTGATAAGTATCTTCCCTTTGAGATGTTAGTGACTCAAAGATGGACAGAAAACATTCCAGCTGTTTCATAGATTGGCTCCTCCTTGAGGTCAGGGCTCCGCTCACTGTGGCTTCTCGGTCACATCTGGCCCAGACCTGTATTGGTGTGGACCTCCCAGCTCAGAATTATTTTAACAATTTTTTAAGGGACTGGAAAAAGAAAAAGAAAAAGCATCTGTGGTAGAAACTGTGTGGCCTGCAGATATTTCCATGTGCTGGCTGACCACTGCTGACGTCGCTCCCCTCCGTGGTAGCCGGGGGCCATGGGGAGGGCAGTGGCCGCACTCCGGGGCGGGCCTCGTGAGCTCCGGGCTCCGGCCCCTGCGGGTGTCCCGTGCCGCTCGCATCTGACCCTCCCCGCACACTTGGAGCTCCCCACTGAAAGGACTCGACTAGCAACCAGCCCAAACAAAACAGAAAGAAAGGGTGAGTGAAAGGACTTGACTAAGAGGACACCGTGACGCGATGCAGCCGAGACAGGAATTCACGTCCGTCGTCTCCGCGCCGCGGGGGCGGTCCTCACTGTGTTCTCCTCCGCTCCTGCCGCTTTGTCCGTGGGCTGGGGAGCGGCGCTGAGCGAGGGGAGAGGGATGCCGCGGACAAGTGCAGCAGCCGTGCGCATTTCTTTGTTGCCAGTTTCACTGACTGTAGGTGCTTGTGAAAACCGCACTTGTGCTTGTTTCTCCTTCTTCCGTACTTGGTGTCCCCCTGCGGCATTGCGTGCTTACCCTGCCGTGCTGGGCGGAGAGGACACTCTGTTAGCTTGTCGGAGCGAGGACTGGATTCTGGGTTAGGACAGCGTTCCTTGCTTTCCCTGGAGAGCGGCCCAAAGTGCCTGGTGCTGTGCCCTTGCCTGGAAGAGTCAGAGCGGAGTCGGGCCTCGTGGCCCCTGTGGGGTTCGAGTCAGACGGTGGAGGCGAAAGTTGGCTGACGCTTTACCACTTTGGCTTGATTAGCAGGTTTCTACATTCAGCTGTACGGTGTAGCAGTCACAATTATTTTAATGTTACACAGGGATAAGAAACATGAAAAAATGCTGGAGAAACTTTTAAATTATTAAACAAGTTCCTGTTTTATGTTTTCAGAATTTTTTCTGTTTAATCCAATCCTTTCCTCTTCATTGAATGTTCCAGTTTCTTTTCTAGTACATAGACAGTAACTTAAAACAGATAATTTTCTGGAGCTTTGTAGAATTAGGTTTTCTTATTACAGTTGAATCAAAGAAATTATCACCATATCCCTTTTGTGATTATATTTATTTCAGAAGCTTTGTTTGCGATGTTTGATTTAACTCGAGTGATTATTAGTGCCAAGAAAGCTACTCTTCAATCATCGAATACTTCTTTAAGCTTCCCTACCTGAAATGGTAGCTTAGCTCTATTTTCTGCACACAACGTGTCACCACAAAATGCTAAATCATAATAATTGCGTCTTATATTCCGTATAATTACAATTTGTCATAAATATAATTATCCTGGGTTATCTCAAAAGCACAGTGGACTTTTTGGTCTAGTTATAAGCATAACGTTGATGAACTCTGCTGAAGTTGTATACGTAGGTTAATGCAGAGATTTTTCTGACCTTCTCTCCCCTCCCCCTTTCAGGGACTCACGGACACGGCTCAGACGATTTACGAAACCGCAGCTCGAGAACATGAGAGCAGAGGGGTCACTGGTGCCATGGGCGAGGTCCTGCGCCAGATTCCTCCTGCGGTGGTGAAACCTCTGATTGTTGCCACAGAAGCGACATCAAATGTATTAGGCGGCATGAGAAACCAAATTAGACCCGACGTTCGGCAAGACGAGTCACAGAAATGGCGCCATGGGGAAGACTGATACTTCAGACGCGATTGTTTATGGAGATAGTGAGGGTGGAAATAAGGAGCACCATGTCCCACTGGCCGCTTTACAGGGTACTCCTTTACTTTGATTGTGCTCATCTCAGGAACAAAAGCATTTCTTAGTTAAATAATTTAATATCAAAGCAACATGCAACCAAAAACTTGTGACATTTAGGGCTGGTTTGGTACTTGCCTAGTTAAATGTTTGGTGACAGTGTCAAAAGACCTTAAGCGTTTGCTGCCGAGTGAGTGGGTGCTCGCTCTTACGGAAGTGGCTGTGCTCGCTCTTACAGAAGTGGCTGTGGTTTCCTCGCTGTCGGTGAGAGATCATGGGCAGCCTCCTGTTACCGTCCACAGTGCTCAGAAGCATTTGTGCACTTTGAAAGCGCTATTTATATTGCCCTGAGGAGTTGATTTTCTCAAGGTTTAAAGAGAATCACAGCTTCGAAACTCATTGAGAATGAGAGACAGAAGCTACAGGGAAAGTGAAACAAATAGGATTTTAATATAAATATCACAGAGGAATAAATGACCTGGTCTGTTGGATTTAGTGTCCATGCGCTTAAGAACATTATTTCCATCCCCTCAGAAGGTCTTTCTGGGGGCTTTTGAGAACATGCGTGTCGCAGACATGTCTGCTGTGTTGCACTTTATCGTGTGTGTGTGTGTGTGTGTGTGTGTGTAGATTAATACAAGTCATGTGATCTGTTCGTTATGTAATTTACAGATTTTCATAAAATATAAAGAGTAAGACAATGTTTTTGGCAAAGGAAGCGAACTCAAATGGAGTAACTTTCATTTATTTTAAGTGTAAATGAAAATGTGCACTCTCTAATGAACTGGGGCCCGTATGATTGTTTGTGTGCTCACTCTCAAGCAGATACAGTGCAAGCTTGTGAGGAATGTGTGGAAGGAGAGATTGGAAATGATTTTTACTTTTCTGAAATTAACCAAAAATCCTCCAAACATGCCCTAGTCAGCTATTTCGAAGTACCGCTTTTTCTTGGTTAACAATGTACATTTTGATAACCTGTCAGGAATGAATAAAGTATTTTTATTTAAATTTAAAATTGTTTTATGCTTCCATGAACATTCTGCTTTTCTTAGAGCACATTCCTAGATGCACACTTGCCTCCATCCCAAGACACTTGGGAAAACTTCCTCGAAACTAATTTTGGTTAATATCCAGTAAATCATTACCTAGGAGTGAGAGGGAAATTGTGTGCGAGGACTCGCTTTTTGACTTCAGGTGGATCTAGCAGAAAGAAAGTGTAGGGCTTCGTGTTTAAAACTGTTGAAAGTTGTATGATGTGCATTTTCTGATGCAGGAAGAAGGCCGCCATCCGTGTGAATCTGGATTTCAGAACCACATTTCAGGTTGGGGTTTGAAAAATGATGTTGAATCGATCCCATTCTCTAGATTTTCTGAACAAGAAAGCAATGTAAACTCAACATCTGGACATTTAAAATTTATGAAAATTGCATTAAACAGCATTTAATTTTTGTTTCCTTTTTACTGCTAAAAAAACCTTAAAAGGGCTCTGCTCACGGAACCATCAATTACTTTGTCCCAGTTAAATGGAGTCGTGTAGAATGTGCTCCTGAGTGAACAGTAGCCACACCTGTGTGTCATGGAGGAGGCTCAGCCTGCTTCTAGGGCACGTTCTGACCGCCCTGCTCGCTGACTTCCATGCGTCCTGAAAACAGAACATACCATGTCTGTCATTTGTGGTGATTAACCAAACTGCAAAGCCCTTGACCAAACGTAAAAATATAAAATCTCTTTAATTTTAAAATACATCTTCCATAGTTACCCTATTTAAATTTAGTTAGATACAGTCTAGGGAGAAAGAATCATCCTCTTCTTTGTACTCTTGAGTTGCAGATAGACCCATCTTTTGACAAATTTGGTTTATAAGTCCTGTTGTAACATTTATCTTCATAATGTCATCTCCGTGGTTCTTTGTCTGTCCTCCACTCCTGCACCTGCTAGCCACAGAATCTGGGTTTGGGAACCAGAAACCTGCCTCAGAAAAGTCCAGGTCAAGGCTCTGTTCATGGCCCGTTTAACCAAGATGCTCTTTATTTGAGATGTTTAGGTAGACTGTTTGAAAGCTTCTGCATTATTAAGTATCCTTATTTTTTTCTTTCTTACAAATACCTTTTCCAGCCTTTATGTCACAGTGACACAGTAAGAAAGAAGAGCATTGGGCAGGACCCTTAGGTGGCCAAGTCTGCCCTCACTCGGCAGGTGACATGGTCAAGGCATTGGATTTCTCTAAGCCTCAGCGTCTGTAAACCAAGGGGTTTTATATGACCAATTGCAACAGATTTTGGATGATCAGGCCGTGTGTGTGTGTGTGTGTGTGTGTGTGTGTGTGTGTGTGTGTGTGTATAGAAGGTCTGGGATGTAGTGCTTGGTAGACTGTCCCAGACCTGTGACTCCCCAGGCTGGGGGTGCTAGAGGAGAGCACGGAGGTCACACTGCACACAGTAGCCACAGGCTCCCTCAGGTCTTGGATCTCTCAGAATACTGCGTTTCTGAGTGGCCACGGTGCCTGTGGGGTTGACTCTTGATGTGTTACTCTGTGTGGAGTAGACAGCGTGTGCACATGTAGCTGCATGGAAGCCATCTAGGTGTTTCCCCGGTGAGGCCGGGTGAGTGAGCCTGGCCAAGATCCGCCAGCGAGTTTTAGGATAGCACAGTGTCACAGAAGCGTGTGAAGGCCACTTTCTAAAGGCCGGGAAGGCCGTGGGCCATGGCAATACTTCCTCTTGAATGGGGCTGATGCGCACCTCCGGTTTCCCTTCCTGTGTGTCCCCAGATTGCTATTATTTACAAGTAGACCATTCCCTTTCAATATTTGCCTTTTAGGATAGATGTAACACAGTATTTCTTATAGACATAGCAATAAACTTTCATTTTTGTGGAGTTCAGGTCCAATTTGGATTTCCACTTTAAGCACATATATGTCACATCAATATTTTTATAATGCAAGACTCACTTTAGGGAATCTTTCCAAGTCGCAGTGTGCCTAGAATAGCAGAAATACTAAAAACTTGTGTTTCCTGCCTCCTGCTGTGTGTCACTCTTAAATGGTACTAAAATATTTCCAGGAGAAATGTTTAGTTTCTAATCCCCTCCTTTAAAAACAGTGATCTGTAGGTTTGGTGCCTTTGCTCAGTCTCAAAATAGTCTAGACAGTTTTGTCTGCTCCCCTGCTGGGGCTGCTGGTCCAGGGTGTCCTGCCTCCCGCCAGTGTGTTTGGGCTGGATTCTAGGCACTGTGTTTTCTCCCCAGAGCAGACGGACAGCGGGCAGTGTTGACTTTCAGCAGTTTTAAATGAGAACCCTTCACTACATGGTTTCAGGGTTAACAACTGCTGGAACATTAAATTCTGTAGATGAGAAAAACCTCATGACTTAAGAGACCTCACTGGCCTATGCTTCCATTTTCTTACTCCCGCACTGATAAAATTCTTCAGAATTACGGGGAGGAGTGTGTCAGGGCTAGTGTTCACGGTGAGCAGTTACCCCGTTTCCCCTCACATCCTCTGAACCTACTTAAAGGGCCAACGTCTATAAAGTTCTTTGAGCTTGAAAGTAAGGGACTGTCAAAAACAGAGTGATACTCCTGTATCTGTAGCTGCACCCATTGGACATACCCGCTGGTATCAAATAGAATAAATCAAATAGAAAACAGTGAGTCTTAGGTTTAACTAGGAAGATTATCTGTATAGTGTATAGTTAACGTAGGGGAAAAAATCTTTAATCAAACAATCTTATTTCTGTTTATCGGAAGGTAGAGTCAGTCTTGCCATAGAAGCCCAGGTGAGTGCTTTAGTGCCAACTTATTTTTATTTCCGTATCTTCAGGACCATGTAGGCACACCACCCCCTTTGGTAGACCTTGTAAGCACAGCTGCCGCGGGTCCATTGATGTGTGAGTGTTTTCCTTAGATCCTGTTACTGTACGTGAGACACACAAAAGGTACTCTAACACCATCCTCGTGGGCTGCTTTGGGGTGAGAAATTGGGAGTTTCAACTGCTCACGCTGAGAGGTCCACAGTGGTCAGAAGCATCCGTGTCAGGGATTTTTGGCTCCCGTCCCAACCGTGGGCACCGTGGTTTGAGCATGTGGCCTCGTGGTAGGGGCCAGGGTGCGGGCTGCTGTGCATCATAGGGTGGTGGAGGTGGCAGCGGGGGGCTCGTGACCCTTCCGGTGCCATGGGCTGTGGACTTAGCAGCCTCTTGTTTAAGAAGTGTGTCTGCTTTGCTGTTTCACTTGTGTTCTGTATGTACGAAATGGCAGCTTCCAATTTCTGGTTGGATTTGTCCTGTGTCGTTTCCATAAGCCACTGGTCCACTGTGGAATCGGTGGGGGGAGAGAGGGGTGGCGGCAGGGCGATTGCCAAGTTCAGCCCCTCTTCAAATCCAGCCTGACTTACCTTAGAGATCAAACCTAATCTCACACAACGCTGTATACTTGTTGCTAAGTTTCCTCATTTCCCTACTTAATTTTGGATGTGAGTACTTTAAGAATGCTGCTGCTGTATGAGTCTTTTTGTGGAAATGTAACATGTCTGTGTGACTATGGAAAATATTATGAAATAAGAGTACTCTTGAAGAAAATTAAAATATTTACTCTTTGGAGCTTGCTTTAAACGCTGTTGTCTTTCGCCACGCATGGGTCCCAAGGCCTGTATAAAACACTTTTCGGGGTGGGCCATAGGTCTGTGTCAGACCCTGTCACTGAGAAACTGTGTTCCCCTGAGCCCGGTGCTCATGATGGCAAATCGCGTGTCCACCTGCTGCCTGTTTCTGAGCGGCACAGGGACGTGACGGTAAAGTTTGCCCCTCCTCCCCCCTGCAGGGGATCCGTCACTGTTATCTCAGCCCTGCAAGGTGAACTTGTGGCAAGCACACCTTCTAGTGTCCGTCTGAGGGGCCTAGATAAATCCCTGGCAAGTCTGCTCTATGTGGGGAAATGTTTTTACTTGTAAAAGACGAAGATCTTATTATTAATCTTTTGGGGGGCAGCAAAGCAAGGTTTTTTAAGTGATAGCAAAGTGATAGTACAAAGCTCCCAAGGAGGGAGGGGACCCGAGAGGGTTGCCCTAAAAGAGATTTTAAAGGAATACTTTTAAAGGGAACCTGCTCAGGAAGAGGTTTTGATGGGACAAGTGTCACTGTAGAACCGCTCTGAGCTGTCAGGGAAGCATCACGGCACACCTCACACGTGGCTCTTGTGACGGTCGGGCGGGAACCTTCTCAGGGTGCTTGCTGCCTGCCGGGGTTGTGGGTGGCTCCTTCCATAAGCTCAGGGCCCCTCTGAGACGTGGTTGGTGCGGCCCCTGTTTTCCAGAGAAGTCAGAAACCCTGCTCTGGTCCCAGGCTGTGACTCCCAACCCCATGTTCATCCTAGCACATCCCTTAAGGGCAACTTGCACTGTGGTCTGGATTAGTGAAAGCTCGTCAGGAATTAGGAAACTAAGAAGGGAGTTTTTATAGAAGAGTAAGATTCACGGTTCTTGGAATGCTTGAGCCGAAGGCAAGAGCAGACTTGCTTCCCCGTCTCTCACCTGCATCTCCAGCCCTGCTCCGTGCGCCTGGCTTGGCACCAGCTGCCCTCGTTCTCTGGTTCTCCCACTTCCTGTATGCAGAAGTTACAGACCTTTTCTTCTCTTTTTTCGTGAGGAAGCTCAGGCCCCACGCAGCACCAACTAACTGCGATCTGCTGACGGGGCTGTCAGGGTCTCCACACCTTAGCAGTCTTGACATTCGGGGCTGGCTAATCCTTTGTTGGGGGGCCCGTCTGTGCATGGTGGGATGTTGAGCAGCATAGCTCTGTGTCAGACCCTGTCACAGGGTCTGTCACCCTTGGCCTTACCCAGCGGCACCCCTCGCCAGCTGTGAAACCCAGAATGTCCACAGGCATGGTCAGATGTCCCCCGGGAGGCAGAAGAACCCACCTGGCGCAAACCACTGGGATAACAGCTCCCCCGGGGGGAAATAATGTGCCTCCTCAAAGGAGAACAATGCCTCAGAGCCTTCTCACATTCCTTTCCAGAACGCTCTGCCCGCTTCCTCCTTGTCGCAACTTAAAAGTTACCGTTTTCAGACAGGCAGCCATCCTACTGACCGACTATTCTCCATTATCGCACACGAACAGGACAGACGTCTGTGGTGCCGCTCTCAGAAGTCCGCACTGACTTGCCTCCGTGTCCGTCGCCTGGCACCCTCCGTGAGGGCAGGGCGCACACGCACCTGGCGCCTGGCACGGGGCCTTGCCCAGAATCAAGGCATCGGGGCCCAGTGGATGGATGAGTGAGTGAATGAATCTTAGCGGTCCTGTAGTCCCACACGGTCACTTTGCAGTGAGGATGAAGTCCGGAGAGACAAAGGTCTGTGCCCGAGATCATATGATCAGGACTTGAAGAGGTCCTTTATGCAGTGCACTTTACTGTTTCTTGATTTTAGCAATATATGAGAATACCAGTACATACACCTACAGAAAACTGGTGAAAACCCCGTATTTGTTCCGTATTTACTGGGACTGCCACGCTCAGCACAACGCCCTGTCACAGCTACACTCAGCCTGGGCCAGGCAGGAAGCGGACGAAGCAGAGGGCCAGGCGGACGACTGGAAGGAGGCCCTGAGGAAGGGACTGATGGAGCCTGGGTGGGCGGGGCCGGGGAGACCACAGGACCTTGGATCCTCTCTGGCGTTCAGCTCTGGGTCCGTGCCGGGCCTCCCAGGAGTCCGTGGTGATGCCTCACCTTCTGAGAAGCTGCTGGAGCAGCAGGAAGCCTGGCTGCAGGCCCGAGGGGACCAAGGTTCCCCAAACCTGCAGCTGAAGGAGGGGCGGCTGGACTGCGGCGTGGCCTGGCACGCAGGGAAAGAACCAGAGCGGCCAGAGGAGTAAATCCCACCCTCGGGGCCCCTACCCTCCCGAGGGGCAGATAAGCAGCCCCCAGCCCTCGAGCATCCTTATTTGTATCTGTGCTATTTCTTCTGCAGGCGACAAAACTGATGCTTCCGAGAACTGACCTGCCCAAGGCCACTCAATCTGCTGGTCAAGGAACACTCGTCCCTGGTGACAGATAAAGCTCCAGGTCCCAGCCGCTTCTCGTTCTCAAGCCCAGTCGGTGCCCCTCCCTGTGTGGCAGCTCTCCTCAAGTGGGGCTGGAGGGGCCCAGCCTCCCCCATCTTGTGGCTCTGCCTCCCCTGAAACGTGTGGGGCGTGGGCAGGAGGACAGCCTCGTGCTGGAGACATTTGCCTCCGAATCCTGTCACGTGACCACACCCAGGATGGAGGGAACCTGGCGTTGTGGTCTCGTGTGTTTAGGAAGGGAGGAAATGGGGCCTGGTGAGCGCCTGCCCGGGCTGCTACACGGGGCTCCTGACTGAGAACTTGGCACCCACATTCAGCAGCACCCTACTGGAATCACAAGTAGTTGCACTCCAAGATAATTTGCCACTACCCGAGTTGGGTTCCCACCCCCCAACCCCCGCCCTGGGCTTATTCGTGTTCCTGAAAGCAGTTGTGCACGGAGCAAATTAAATTCAAACAGTGTGCTGAGTGATGTAGCAGCCCTCACAATTTGTCTACATATTGGAACTACTGGAGGACCTTTTAACAATTCCAAAACTCTGGCCACACCCAGGACCAATTAAATCACAATCCCTGGGGCCTATTTTTGAAGCTCCCCCCCCGGGGGGGGGTGACTTGTGTGTAGACAAGTTTGGGTACCACTGGCATAGTGGCTAAGAATACGGATTTTAGAGAGCAAGACTGCCTAGGGCTGAATCCAGACTTCACTATTTGTTAGCTCTGTGGCCTTGAGGAAGTTGGTTAACCTCTCTGTGCATCAGTTTCCCCCTCTATTAAACAGAGATAATAATACAGTTGTGGTGAGGATTGTGTGAGTTAATACCTGCAAGTGCTTAGAACAGTGTCTCACATACTGTGTCACGTGAGCATTCGATGTAGTTACTGTTTCCTGAATGCTTACCGTGTGCCGTGTCCCAGGTGAAAGCTGAAAGACAGCCCCTTGCTCTTAGGGAGCTCAGAACCCCATGAGAAGACATCGATTAGACCTAGCTCATCATTCCAGGCATCTGCCCCTTACGAAATGGAAATCAATATGTCTTGCTCCTGAGAAATCAAGTGATATTTCACAAAGCCGAGGCAGAAACTACTCTGAGCAATTTTAGACTTGGAATTCCTGCTTCTGAAGACCCCCCACCTGGTCTTACCCTCGGCCATTCAGACCTCTTGCTTACCCGGCATTAAACACGGATCTGGGGAAACCTGGGGATTGCTGGGGGAGCCAGCTCCCCTTTTAGCCTGATGTTCAGGATTGCCCAGTCACGGGGAAATTGGACCTGGAGGGTACATCCTGGTTAGCATTTGGAAATAAAAGGCAAAGAGGGTGCGAAGTCGTTCGGGCTTGGCTATCCCCAAGAAAACCAAACCCTCCCACGTCCTTACTGTAAGAATTTCTAGACTATCAGCAGAGGACAAACCATTCTTTTAAATTTAGATTCCACTGATGAATAAAGGAAAATATGGCTGCTCGGTGCAAAGTATTATCCTGCTTCCAAAACCCTAATGGGAGGCTCTGTCTGCCCAGATATGGCCCAGTTATGTTCAGAGCGTGGGAGGCCTCAGGGCTCTAACTCCAACATGCGCTTAACATTGGGTAAAAGTCAAGCACAACCTCCTTCCCCGTTCCACTTGTGTAAGATCAGCGTCAGTGTCACAGCTCTATACTCAGATCCCCCTTCCCCTATGATGGACACTCACTCCCAAAGCCAAATAAACACCTCTCTTCTCCATTTCTTTTTATTTTTTTAAAGATTTTATTTATTTGACACAGATCACAAGTAGGCAGAGAGACAGGCAGAGAGAGAGGGGGAAGCAGGCTCCCTGCCGAGCAGAGCGCCCGATGGATGCGGGCTCAATCCCAGAGCCCTGGGATCATGACCTGCGGCGACCACAGAGGCTTAACCCACTGAGCCATCCAGGTGCTCCTCTCTTCTCCATTTCAGCTTAAACTAAAGTTTCGCTTTTAAGATTTTCCCCTTCAGAACATTCTGTTGTCTTCAAAACCCTTTTTAATTCTTCTTACAGGCTTTCATTTTGAAAGCCATTTTCTTTTCTTTTTTTAAAAATTACTTTTATTAACATATAATGTATTATTTGCCCCAGGGGTACAGGTGAAAGCCATTTTCTTAGCCTTTATGGCCTATTTGCTGGAGTTTCAGCCACTCTCCATCCCCAGGAGTGACCTTGAGTAGTCACTTAACTTGGCAGGATCTCAGTTTCTCCGTGATTTATCTGTCTGATAATCCTGACGAGGGGAAACACCGGGTCAGTGATACACCCGTTTAAGCGGGGGTGTCTGTTGCCAATTTTCCTCTTGTAGAAGTGGTACCTGCTAACAAAGCCCCAACAAAATTCATCATTAAAACATTTTTTAAAAGATTTTATTTATTTATTTGATAGAGATCGCAAGTAGGCAGAGAGCTCCATCCCAGGACCCTAAGACCATGACCTGAGACAAAGGCAGACCACTGAGCCAGCCAGGCGCCCCCATTTTTTATTATTTTGAAGTGA